CAAACACAAGTGTTGGAAATGAAATACTCAGACCATTCGTATCTTGTATGGAAAATCTCTCTCTGCTGCGTGGCAGACAGTGTGATTATTTTATTAAAAATAAAAAATAAAAAATGAAAAAAAATTTCTAATTTCTTTGCATAGCAACAGCAAGTATTATTATTATTATTATTATTATTATTATTATTATTATTATTGTACTCCTTCCGTCCCGTTGAAAAGATGACGTTTGTTTTTTATAAGTAAATTTTTAAATATTAGTATTATATTGAATTGTAGTAAAAAAACAAAAATATCTCTATTAGTATGGTGTAATATAAAAATAATGGTATTTATGTAATATATTGTAAGTTGAAATGGTATTTATTATGTCAAGTAGGTAGTACAATTACTAAATTAGGAAATGATAACCTTGTTTTGGGACGAACGAAAATGAAAAATAGTAACATTTGAATGAGACGGAGGGAGTATATTTTTTTACAATATATTATTTATTTCATATTTATTATATGAAACTTTAATTTTTACCATGTGTTCAGTAAATTTTGTTTTTTAAATAATAATTTTGATATAAATAAAGTAGAAGAAAAAAATGAAGATGTCAAGAAATATGTATCTGTTTACTTGTGAGATTTTTATTTTGAATTTTGATTTTGAATAATAAAATTTTGAATTAAAATAGTTGTTTGATGTGATATAAATATGTATTGATGTGATGTTTTGAATGTAAAATTAAATTTTAGTATAATATAATAAATAAAAATTAGGTATTTGATTTGATATTTTTGGAGAGAAAAAATTATTAAAATAATAAAATCAAAATCAAAGTTTGACAAGTAAACACAAAGTTTTATTTTTATGTGGGTGATTTTAGAGCAAATACAATGATATTTGTTTATACGTCTTTTAGAGCAAATTTTTACGCATCAGATCACCTGCCACACATGGTTCGTCTAGTGTAACTTATCTATCGAGCCTAATTTATAGGGTATTAGATTCGACCGAAGTTTATCCAGTATACTCAGCTGCTGATTTTCAAGTCATAAAAAAATATAGTGTTGGCTGAATTGGGACACGTCGGAGACACGTGCATGTGGAGGTTTTTTTAATTTTATTTTTTATATTATATATATATATGCCCGCGCTCTTATGTTTCTTTTCCATGCAAATTTATTGATATGGCAACTTGTATAGTCAAACTAACATTCATACCATATCTCTTTCTTCGCTAAAACAAAATAGTATATTTATAACGGAATTCTGTTCTTAAAGTTCACGTAGCTAACGTAATTTCATCTCTAATTCCATCTTTAATATCATTAGTAACAAGAAAAAATAAATTTAAGAACGAAAAAATCTCGCTACAAAATTGATAATTTTTTTTATAGTGTATGTTAGTAGAGTTGCACAATAAAGTAAAACTGTTATGTTTATATATACATATATTGAAATGTTAATACTAATTATTTATTATTATTAATTTTTTATTAATATTTTCTCAACTAAAAATTATTATATTAGATACAATATTTTTAACTATTCTCAAAATTTGTTAAAATTTTAATTTTTTAAAAAAATATATATTTTTATACTTAAATTTTATACTGCAACATTATTAATAACAATAGCAATACTAGTATTTGTATCATTAATAAATTAATTAAATTTAAGTTTAAACAAAAAATAAGTAAAAAAAAAATGTTTAACTATAATAGTTCTAATTTCTTATGACAATAAATTTGTATCTAACTTCTTTGAAATTTTTAGGCCTTTACAGTTTATTTTATAAAATATATACAATTTTCTATTAAAATAAATAATATACTATTTTCTTTCATCAAATATTATTACATTATTAAACTAAAAACAAAAATTAATATCTTTAAAAAAATTATCAAGTAAACACACTGCGTGTTCGTTTGCAAGATTTTGCAAAATTCTTACTATTCATCCAATTTCCCCCCCCCCAAAAAAAAACATCAAATCAAACACCTATTTTTCATTTTTTATATTATACTAAAAATTAATTTTACATTCAAAACATCACATCAACCCCTATTTATATCACATTATACAACTATTCAAATTCAAAATTTTTACTATTCAAATCCCAACTCAAAATCCAAACTCCCAAACAAACACACCCTTAGTGATAACCTCAATATATATATTGCATAAATATTAAACATCAAATGTTACAAGAAAACTCTCTAAAAAAAAAATACTTACTAGAAAAACTTTCAATACGAAAGTTACATTTTTTTTCTTTTTTGTTACGACATTTTATTTAATTTAAGCGCTAAAACCACGTGAAACTCTTGTAATAACAAGCGATGTTGTTGTTCCTTGTCTTCAAAGTCGGGCGAGAGAGGACCGGGAGGCCCCATTGAGACGAGAACACGATGGAAGGGCATTCCTCGTTGTCCATCATCATCATCCACTCGACAAAATTAGCAAACATTTTTACAAACTTCCTCGACAACATCAAAGTAATCAAGAATGGCTTCCAATACACCCTTCTCGACCGCAATAACTTCACCCCTTTAATTTTCCCGGTCCTAAACCGCCTTGTCCTAAAAACTCTCTCGTGATCTCCACTATTACCGAGCTTGTAATACTTACCCCTTCCCTTATTCTTGTTGAAGCCCATTGCAAGAACGAAGAACCTCGACCAATTGCAACACACACGCACACACATATCGATAGATATATGTATATATGTGTGTATATATAGGTGGATGAAGATGTAAGAATTATTTGGAGATTGGAAGGTTGTGAAGGAAGCACATGGAGAATCGGTTTGGCTTTCGCAGTATAGATTCAAACTTATTACTTGTTAATGAAAAGAGGCTGCTGATGATATCTCTGCCAGGTTTTGATTCCTCTCAACACATGGCTAACATCACACACACACATGTGTATATATATATGTATGTATACATTGTATTTCTTGAGATTATATATATATATATATAAGTTGTTAATTTGTGAGTAGCAAGTGGTGTGTGTTTTGTTATGTAATGTAATTTGTTGGTTGATGTTTTGTTGAGATCCCACACATGGCTGTCAAGTTATTACCAGCTAAGTGTACTCATCTTCTAACTTTTAGTGCTCTGTTTGTTTCAATCACTTTATATATATATATATATACTCTCTCCGTCGGCCAAATTTACTCTCACTTTCCGCTAAATTTACCTCATTATTAATTTTGGCGAAGTCAACAAATCAACATTTAAGTATCATCCTACATTCAACACTTGTTTATAACAAAATGTCACTACCTTTATTACATTCTTTTTCCTCATTTTTTAAATTCTAACTTACTTTCCAAAAATACTTCAAACTAATTTTTTACTTTTTATCATTTTTTCAATAAAATATTCAATTTTCTTAATCCAAATGTTCTAATTTTTACGGACGAAAGAAGTATATAATAGATAAACTTACTGTCAATTTATATATTCTATTTGTATAACATTAACATAGACATTATATTGTCGATCTATATTTCATGTATTGTTGTATCAACAATGGATGATTGATCTCAATCAATACTGATATATATATTATATATGTATATGTAATTAAGGATCAAATATGATATGTCCGAAGCCGGTGGCTAGTATGTTGATAGGATCAAATTAACATGATATTGATTTGACCTGTCAACACAAATCAACCCGGCCGTGCATGTAAATATATAAGACAACACAATATTGTGTCGTATGGAAATATGTGTTGTGCAGTTTATATATTATACTCTATATATATTTATTGTGCTAAATCAATAATATATTGTGTTTTATGAACTGTATATATTATACTCTCTTCGTCCTTTAACAATTTATCTATTTTTCTATTTTGGTCCGTCACATAACAAAATATCCATTTCATTGTTTAGTAACTATACTATTTACCTAACATTACAAATATCCTTTCAATTTACAATATATTACACAAATGTCATTACCTTTTTATCATACAATACTAATAAAGTTATTTTAGTCTTTTTACCATTAATTCTACTCCATGTCAATATAATACTAATATTTCTAAAACTCCGTGCAAAAAGTAAATAGACAGATGGATATGGGACGGAGGAAGTATATGTTATCCATCTTATTGATTTGTACTGATTAGATCAAATTAACACCGTATTGATTATTTGACTCGGTCAACATGAAAATCGAAGCTATCATTTTGTATTGTCAATTTATATTTAATATATTGTCAACAAATGAAGATTAATCCCAATCAATAGTGATATATTATATATATTTAATTGAAGGATCAAAGAATATATGTATGAATGTAAGTTTGTTTGTTTATGTCCTCAACATGTGCAAGCAATGATTGGTGGCTATATTAATTAAAACCCGCATAGAAATGTCATTACTTAGTCACATGAGAGCGAGATTGTAATCTGAAACTTTTTTAATGATCAATTTGGTTATGTAGCTAGCAATTAGATATTTATGCTTGTCGTAATGGATTAAAATATAACTGGCTACAAAATCTATTCAAGAAAAAATATATATAATGATTTTAATCCATCAAAATAAATATTGAATCTAGTTTATTTAATTCTAACTTATTAACAAATTTTGTAAAATATTTGACATAAGATAGTTGAACAAGAATAATTGCCAAAAAAATCATTTTTTATTTATTCAACCAAACTACTTTAAAAACGAAAATGTATAAGCTGATAATAAGAATAATTATAAATAAATAAATTAAAAAAAATTTCCGTTGCCGGGACTTGAACCCGGGTCTCTCGGGTGAGAGCCGAGTATCCTAACCAACTAGACTACAACGGAAGGATGTATATTGGCTATTTTATGAAATATTTCAAACCTTTAAAAGAACATATCATAAGACCTTGGATTTATTTTTCCAAAACATTAGTGACATTTATATAAATACATAAGAAAATAATGAGTATAAATTTAAAAAATATATATAGATCAAAACTCAAATTAAAAACCAAACAAACCCAACTTGAATTAAATTAAATTGAATTGCAGTGAGTTCTCTCCAATTTTATGTACAGCGCCAAAAAAAAAATCGAACGTCCAGAAAGGGAAGAAACTTACATACAGACATGGATGGATATGCTGTGCTATTATTACCTTATCCCAGTTTCATTACCATCTACTTCTGCTGCAGGCACTTCTTCTGGATAATTAGCCATGTTGATGTCTATCAGAGAGCCGTCTAAAGGAGGAGACACCGCCGCCGTTTCTGGCGCCACGTCGATCAGCGGCGACGGGCTCGAAGCCTTGGATCGAATTAAATCGTCGTCAATTGCACCACCGCCGCCTCCGCATGGAGGGCTGCTGCCGCCGGAAGATGACGACATGCTAGACAACTCTATATCTTCCAGCTTGTCGCCGAACATGCTGTTGCTCCGTCTCGCCGAGTCCATTTCTGCACCCGTCGGAACAAATGTGCGGGACCGGTACTTTCTTGCTCCGTCGTCGCCCTCGCTGGGATTGTACAGCACGTAGTCGTGGTAGGTTGGAGCAAACTGTTTGATTCGATAATATGAGGACAGTGAGTTGGAAAAAAAATTGGAATTTAGGTAGAGAAGGCAATGACGAATGATTTACAATTGAGCGTTTACCTGGTGTACGGTGTCGTGGTAAAGGTCGTTTAATTTTAGCGCGTGCGCGAGGCTTGAGATAAAGGAAATCTTGGCGCCTATATTCGCCCCGGCGTATTCTCCGTACGGAAAAGCATAGAGATGTCCGACGGCTGCGGCGAGCATCTCGACACAGATGATGAAGTTTTGAAATTCCGCAGCTTCGCGCGTGTCTTTTATGAATCCCGACTTTGCTGCGAGGAAAACTAGAACTCCCTGCAAAACGAGTTTTTGAAGCATTAAGTAATCGTTTATGATAACGAGAAAATAGGTGATCGACCGGGGTGTTACCTGCCAGTATGTAAGAAATACTACGGATTTTATGATGATGAACTTCGGAACAGGATTATACGGATGGAGCAAATCTCTGCAAGCCATGTAAAACAAGACGAGCGCATAAAGTGCGACGGAATATGAGATTGTGTAGATAATGGTCAGGTAGAGATATGACTGCATCGGGTTGAAATTCCCATCTTCGTATTTCCCTTTTTCGTAGAGAATGAGAGTGATTATCACTAGGGCGGGCTTCAAGAACACGAATTGCAAACAACCTTGTTTGCACCTTCGAATAAACCGTCTGCATAAAATCAAGAACACTGAATCAACTTTTAGCCGAAACCAAATTTGGAAGTGCAGCAAACAGAAAGAGAAGACTCAACGGGCAATCCAAAACAGTAATGGAGAAAAACATATGGATCCATAAGCCGTGGAATTTACGTTCAAGAGGATGGTAATTGCTCGTAAAAATGATTTACCCGTCCAATGGAAGTGGAGGGAAGCAACAAGTCATTAAGCACCAATTTGGCTTCAGAACCTTGCCAGACAGGCTTACAACAACAGCTCCCGGACCACCCACCCATGCCAAGCACAACGACAAGAAATTATAGATTACCCAAGCTTCATAACTGCAAAGACCATTAAACAGCAATCTTCATATTCATGAAGAAAAATAAGTGCACAATGAGAGGCACAGCATCATAGTTAAGCAAATTAATTCAACACTGCCGTGTAAGAACAGAACAGCACGCTTATCTGACATGTTAATTCAAAAGCTAGTTCGACAAAAGGCAGATACTTAACTATACGGTAATTCAGGTACCGATGGTAACTTTCATTGAAGGTGCAGAAATGAGCAGACAAACTAAAAGATGACGTTGTATTACGGTGAAACTCACATTCACTACAACTGTCATGCGAACACAATCAACCGAATTAAACATTAGTAGATAGAATAAGACTTCAACTAAGTCACATATATGAAAAACCGAGGGTGATTAATACTGATTTAGAAATGACGGGAGCTTTTTCTCCCTCAACTAACTAAGCAGTTCCCAAAAAAAAAAAGATTGCAAAACTATTCTACACAAATATCAGTAGAACAGTTAGAAATAACATGCAACTTGTACTCAGTGGCCCATCCCAGTGCCACTCTCTAAGTAGAATATATATATATATATATATATAGCGTCTACCAAATTCTACCAACAAATCAAAAATTATCTGCACACTGCTCTCTCACATTTATTAAGGAGAACATCGATCCAAGCAGATAACATTGGACTTTGTTCGCCAGACTAACTGTGCCTGTAACTCGAATCTTGAATGCCTCATGACATTTAACTTCCAAATCAATAGAAAAAGATGGAACTCAATTCTAATCCTAACCAAAGGATGTAATGTACTAATGCTATAAATTGACTTTAATAAAAGTAATAAACAGCATTCGGGATTGAAACTTTTCCAGTCCCCTTTATCATTAAGAAACACAAAAGTTGATAGCATGAATGAATCTCCCCCCTTCAAAATGATGCAAAGAAGAAGTGGGTAAGATGACAGCGATTATATATCCATCAAATTAAATAATATAAAGAAAAACGAGGAGCACAGACAACAACTTGGATTGTTCCAAAAAAAAAAAATGATAATTTCTTGAAAAACAAAAACTTACATTTCTCTGACTGAATTGAAGTAAATTGTACTTTCATGATGGACCAGGGATAAGAATGACATCAATGCATAAACCTGTTTGATTACCAAGTTCAAATGTTAAGGACAAATTCACATCCAGGCATTCACACATTGGCAATAAACATTTCCCATACTTTTCATTGTCCATTCACATTTGCTGATACAAACAAAAGAGAACTTAATGCAGAATATGTGTCAGAGACTTCCATATGTATATATATACACCCCATAATGTCCACAATGGATTAAATGTGAAATTTAACTGGACACATGTAATCAAGCTGCTGACACTTTACTACTTATGGTCAAGAAATTGAAGCCAGGTCGATTTACATCTGAAGGTTTTCAGAGTAAATAGGAATTACGGTTTTTGGCACAACTCTCTTAAGGCTTAAGAAGATCCCGGTTCAGGTAGCAGTTCGCTCTATTAGTTCTTTAATGTTATGCTTATGTCATCTGTTGTCAATAAGATTAGAGCAGACTCCACGTGTGTGTGTGTGTGTCAATACATAGTATGATCTTACTTGGTGATGTTCTGTGTATCCCTCCATTTTCATTTTCATCGAACATTTCATCTTCTTATTTCAATGTTCTTTCGAGATTTTTAATGACTTTAAACAATTTTCGTTGCAACTAAGAGCAGTCTCGGCATTGTTTATTCTCCACAAACTTCATTCTATATAAGACATGCAATCATTCGTTTTCAGTCACTTCAGACCAGAACTTGTCACTTAATAGCCAATGAAGAGAAAAACCAAGATATGTGTCCTATATAAAGCAAAATATCTTAGAATCATCCAATGATCCATGCAAACATACATGATTAAAAGAGATCACAACGTTCAGGGGAAAGGCCAAAAGAACAGATACATTTTAATAATGCAAAGCATTTCCTACAGTAGCGAAGCACAGGAAACTGAAGAAAATAATCAAAAAATTAAACAATTGTATCACATTATAAGAACACAAAATACAATAAAAGATGGTACCAAATCTTTTCAAGCAACAACTAACACTTTTGCCTAATGTCCCATCCTAAGTTTTAAGTGCTGAATATCCAAGAAGAACCTTTCTTGACTTCAATACAACCGACAACTGAAAGCATTTCTGTCTATTACCACATGAATTATCCTTAAAACGATTAGAGACAATAATTTCAAATCATGATCTAATTATAAGTCTAAGTACCACACAAGAGGCAGCATCAGTGAGCAAAAAGAACATCGCGATAACATATGCATAGAAAGAACAAAATCTAATAAGTTCATAATTGAAACTCTACAATACTCACAGGAACCATAAAGATAATTCGGACAATGTATCTTTGATACGTCGGCTCGGTGTAATTCAGTAGATGCTTGTAAATGTGGAGAATCGCCAACGTTATAGCCGCAATTGTGCAAGGCAATGCTATCAGCGTGTAATAAATAGACCCCATTATCCGCCCAGACTGAAAGCCACTGTTCTGAAACCTAGGATTACAGATTACACCCAAAATCACACATTATCCACTGCCAATTATGACTACTAGTGCATAAAATTAGCACAAAACCTCAAATGCTAAAATAAGGATCTCCGTCAATTACCCCCTGAATTCCTAATCAAAACCCTAACCCCGCAACGAGCAGGGCAAACGTAATTCCACAGCAATCAAAGAAAGCTTCGATCCTGAACGAAACACAAAGAAAATTAATTACGACTTCAAATTGTCTCGACATAATTTCTGATGTTACGGCAGGAATCAATATTACGAAAGAAAAATTAGGGCTCACCTTATTGCGGAGTGTGTCGGGGGCAAAGGCCCGCCCGGCTGTTTCTCGCAACCGGAAAGCAACTTGGAAATGGCAATTCGGACAGATCCGTTAGAGAATTGGAAGAATTACGCGCGTTAGGCGATGGCGCCGCAAAAATGGAGTCGTCGGAATTGTGAGGGAACAACAATGGCGGCTTGTTGCAGTGATAGTTTCCCCCCTTGGCTGTCGTTGATTTATTGACGTTTCTTGGGTCTTACTGCACCATCATCATCATCGTCATCATCCTCAGTCAGTCCCACCGAATCTTGGAAGGGCTTATTTATTTATTTATTTATTTATATTACTCGCTCCATAGTTGTCAGTTGTGTGGTCTGCGTACGTGTGTAATACTCGATCGAAAATTAACTGTAGATTTGGAAAGCCCCTTCTGCCCCTTCTTGCAGTCTTGCAAGAACACAAACAGCATCACATTTTTTCATCAATTTTAAATGTCTTGGTCACTCTGCTCCTAATTTCGCTGCCACGGGTTTCCTGGGGATTGATTCTCCACCTATATCTATAAATTTCTATTCATTTGCACACAAACTCGACTCACAAGAGTGCCTTTCTTTGTGGTTTAAAGAGTTTAGTTTGAAGTGATAGAGAGTAAAAAACACAATTGAAATGTAACAATTGTTTATTTTATGTAATTTTTTAACAATTGATTTGGATTTTATATTAAAAAATATTTTGTAAGAATAAAAAAATACATAATTTAAATAATAAAAATTAAAAATTTAGCAAAATAAACACATTCAGGATAGCCTCTCTTTAGAGCTAAGATGGAAAACATAACAAAGATCACCTCAACAACTTTCATGTTCATGTTGAAGTTAAAAGCAAGTAATTGGCATCCTTTTATAAGTGTTATTTCACGTTGAAGCTATCAAATTTATTCCCTTTATTTAGAATGAGACACTACTAAAAATTTTAAGTAAAACTATTTCCTACAAATATTATTAAAAGAATATACAATATACAATCGACACAATATATTTTGTCAATTTATAAAACAACAATTCAACATAAAATATTAATAATTTTTATAGTACCAAAAAAACAACCCCAATTAATATATATTTAGATTATATTTATCCAAAATCAATAAATTCTCAAGAAAATATAGTTAAAAACAACCGGTATACACCCAAATAATTAATTGGAACCAGCTCAACATTGGTGCAGTCCAAGAACATTTGCGTACATTCTGACCCGTCTAGCACATCAAGGAAGTTCGGTTCGACTTGGAAGCAGTCAAACGAAGGTAAGAAAGTCAAAGAAATTGTTAGAAAATTGTCAGAGCTGTTCGGAAAAAAAATGGATAAGATTTTATTCAAACAATTTTAAAAAATTAACTATTTAAAAAAGATCCAAATAGTGGGACGCCATTCAATGGTGATCTTCATCTTCTCTACCATTTTCCATTGATGTAATTTTTTTCGAATTTTTACAGTTTTCTTCAATTAATTCGAATTTAATTTTCAGTTTCGCCATTGTTTATTTTACTTTTTTGAGGTAGCCAGAGAATCCTAAGAACAAATCAATTTCGACGTACTTCCTTTAACAACAACAGTTACTAAACAGTATCTGCTGCACTGTTCTATTCGATTAAATTATCAAACTGCACAACGCTGTTTTTCCATCTCAATTTCATGCTAACTAAAGAGACCAAATAACATAAAATCACCAACAACGCAGAGCTAAAGAACTGTATTGATGATTCTTCAACAATTAATTTATTTCAAACTATCGATCTATTCACTCTTTCTTTCTCTTGATTGATTCATTGCCTAGGCAATAGCCATTTCTATCCAATTTCTCAAGATGAAGAAGAAAGCAAACCTGAAAGAAAGAAAGCAAGAAACAGCAAAGCCATGGAGATCCATAATTCGAATCGAATCTACTTCCCATACAAAACAGCCATCACTGTCCTGTACACAGCCCCTCTCTTCCCCTTCAACGCCTCCTTCGCCTTACTCTCCTCCGGCGCCGCTCCCTTCTCCCTCACCATCTTCACCATTCCCCTCCCCTCTTCCTCCATGCCCGCCTCCACCAGCCCCTCCAACGCCGCCACCAGCGCCGCCGCATTCGGCCGGATTCCCCGCCCCACCATCTCTCCGACGTACTTCGCCGCCTGATTAGCCATTCCGGCGTCGCCGCTCTCCGCCAGACACCTTATGATCACCCTGTAAGTGTAGGCGTTGGGGAGCACCCCGCTGGCCAGCATCCGCAGGTGCACCTTGTGGGCCTCCTTCGCCTGCCCGGCGTTCGCGTACGCCTCCATCACCGCCGTGTGCGCCACCACGTCCGGCATCTGACCTCGGTCCTTGATCTGGGAGAAGAGCTCCAGGGCCTCGTGGGTCAGACCGTCCTGAGACAATCCGTCGAACATCTTGGCTGCGCTGCTCATCAGCCCGTCCTCGCGGATCTTCGCGAACACCTCCTGCAGATTCTTCGGGTCCTCCGGCGAGTCCTCCGCCGCCGCCGGCCGCTTGTCGAACGGATTGTACGGCGGGGGGAGCTTCGATTTGTCGACTTCCTTCGCGGTTTGAGGCTGGGACTCGGAATCGGAATCAGAGTCTGAGGGGAGGGAGAAATTCACTAATTTAGGGTTACGCTGCTTTGGCGGCGGCGGCGGCGGGTCTGAGGGGTCGCAGAATGTTCTGAGCAGGGAGGGTTTCGCGGCGGAGAAGGGAATGCGGAGGCAAGGGAGAGGAGGAATAGAAGAAGCATTGCATTTAGGGAGGGATAAGAATCGAGAAATTGTAGCTTTAAGAGCCATCGGCAGCAACTGAAGAATGAGTTGCAGAGAGAGTTGCAGGAGTGAAATGAAGAAGAAGAAGAAAGACTCCCGGTGGAGGGGAAACTTCTGGAGGGTGTGGAAATACGCCACTTTTGGGCAAAATATTTTGTAAAATTACGCTCTCTCAGTCCCATTCTAAAAAACGGATTTTTTCAGATTTTACGTTAATATTAAAAATATTTTTATATTTATAATTTTATTTTATAAATATTATTATAATAATATTTTTGTCATTTTTTATTTTTATATAATTAAGACGCAAAAAATAAATAATACAGGCGAATGTAGTATTTTATTAATTACTGAGAGAGTATAAAATTTTTACAATTTTACTAATTTTATTAATTTTATATAATTAATTTTATTAAAATAATAAAAAAAAAATTGAATGAAACAGATAAAAATATTTAAAAATTTATATGAGTTATACGATTGGATAAATATTCAAAATATTTTTTTATATTATAATACAAATTACAAGTCATAACATTCCGACACATATGGGTACTACGTTGTAAAATGTAAGGCCAAAATAATCCGAAAACGATAGGTCCCGTATTTAATGTGAGATGAGAACGTACAAAGTCAAACATAAGGAACGATACTCGGACGGTCTACGACGAAAATATGCAGGCATGGTGAATCCCGCCACGGGATGGACACGCCACCTCATCCATCAACCATAAGTGTTTGTAGAGCTCCACGTATCGTGACATTAGTCAAAATGGGCAAATGGACGCGTCAAAAGATGCCGGTGTTCGGGGTGTTCGGGGTGTGCCTGTTGAGGACATAGTTTCATGATTGTCATCTCCAATATAGAAGAAAATAATAGATAAATGAAATCAACACTTAATATTAACCATGCATCCTTCTCCGTATCACTTGCATCGATTAGTCTTGTCCCGTCATCCAATCCCAAGCAAACCCTGTCTTTCGAACCACAAGGTCACGTAATAGAATGTATGATAACTTCGTCCATCTGAACTTGTGTTGTAGCCGCTCAAACTCGAATGCACATCCGATTTTTTCATAGAATTGCGTGAGTATCTGATCCCAAATCTCTGGGCCAAAGCTATGTCTTACATAATCCATCTGCTAACCAATGTAACCATATAATGTGTGTGAAGGACTGCTTAGTTTGATAAGTCCAATTCGCGCAAGGTGTCCGCGGAGTTGCTCCTCGTCGAGGCATCTTGTGAAGGTACAACTAGTGGAAATAGATATGTTCGAATGCGGAGAGGTAGGAAGGGTTTATATGAATAAACTTAGAGTGTGTTTGTTTGGGGGATTTTTCCCCAAATTTACTATTCATCAATTTTTTTCTCCTCTCAAATATTAAATGAAACATCTATTTTTTATTTTTTATATTATATTAAAAATCAATTTTACATTCAAAACATCACATTAATACCTATTTATATCACAATCATACAACAATTTCAATACAAAATTTTTACTATTTAAATCTCAACTCACAATTTAAACCCCCAAACTTATACTCACATAAATCAAGTGACATTCTTATTCAATCAACTAAATATATGCTTTTCACTAATTTACTTAATAAAATCTTAGGGTTTCTTTGTCTATACACGTCTTTTCGATACGTTTTTTAATATATATTATATTTTTTTATAAAAATTAACATTCAATATAAATTATTATTTTTTTATATTATCAACATAAATTTATATACATCATATACAAAATTTAAATCAAAACACTAATCAAACAAACCTTTATACTCCCTCTGTCCTGCAAGAAGAACATTGTTTACTTTTTGCACGTAAATTTTTGAATATTAGTATTATATTAATTTGTAGTAAACAAAAATGCCCCTATTAGTATGGTGTGTTATAAAAGTGCTGACATTTGTGTAATATATTGTAAGTTGTAAAAGTATTTATTATATTAGATAGGTAGTACAATTACTAAATTAGAAAATAGTACCATTGTTTTGACACTGACAAAAATAAAAAATTGTATCATTCTTATGTGACGGAGGAAATATATCTTTTAATAATAATGATATACTTTAATTATTTGCAACTGTTGGGAATTTTGGCAGTTCGAAGCCTAGCTCAACGAGTCACTCGATAAATAATTAATTGATTCACTCTTTAGCCTAACCCACCGAATCGGCCAAATCCTCTTTTGCCTAAACTTTTTAACCTAATTACAAGTTCAAGCCAAAACCATTAATCCTTTGCCCTAATCAATTTAGTTAATAAGTTGTGGGTTTGTTATAGAGTTAGTTTTAGGGAAAGTTTCTAGATATATAAATATAGAAATAGGCAGCGGTGTTCAAGGGAGATAATATAAGGTGTGACTCGAGTTGTATGTTAGGCGGAGAACAGTCGAGTGAGATAGACGAAGAGGAAAACCACGAATTCTTGGTGAGTTCCAACGAATATTTTCCGGTAAGATTAGAGCATTTTCAAGTGCCGATTATGGTGGGTATCGAGGTTTAGATTGTACCTCCACCTGGCGGCGTAGTTATCATAGGCCATCGCACACCATGGGGCTGAGTCGAAAACCGTCGTCCCTTCGCCGTTGCGATGATCGGAGGAAAAATTGGGTGAAAGAAGATCGATGTTCGTCAGTTCGATCGGTTCACGGAGCTGTTGTCGGACTCCCGGAGAAGATGGGCGGAGACGCTGGACCGCCAGAGATGAAGGCCGGAGCGTCACTGCTGCCGGATACGGCTGTTTCAGTGCGGATCGACAGAATCTGAAGCTGTTCGTTGTGAGGAGCCGCCGCTGGTCGCGCGCTTCCAAGAAGATGATCGCAGGGAGCTGGTCGCAGGAGTTGCTGAACGCATCATCGCCGGGCGCTTGAGGAAGATGACCGGAGCTGCCAGCGCCACTGCTACTAGTCGGAGGAGATGACCGAAGCTGCTGGTTGAGGAAGTCCGTCAGAGAAGACGCCGCTGTCCCGCAGCAACTAGCCGCCGACTGCTGGAGTTGCTGGCCAAAGTTTCAGTCGGGTCGCCCAGTGGCCGGAAGTGAAAGGATTGCCGAAGGTTTCATCGATTGTCGTCGGCGTCGATTTTGGTACCGAGTTTAGCGGCTGGAAGATACGATTCTCCCCAATTTCAGAGAGGACAACGACCAGGGAGTATTGAAATTCAATTCCCAATTTGTTAAGCCTGTTTGTTAGCTTTTCTTGCTTTGATTCCCATAATGTCTTTCCTAGCCTAAATCTGTGTTTGATTAGTTTAATTTTCATTTTGATTCTGTATTGGTTTTATTAGAATTCATTTCCGCTAATTCATCGTAATACATATACGATATTTTATCAATAAATTCCAGAATAAATTCACAATAACAACAATGCCCGCTATCATTTTTAATTTATATTTGCAATATAATTATTTTCAATACAATATTGACAATTATTTTACTTAAAAATAATAAATATGAAAAACTCAAAATAAATAAGAGTTTGTTGTTTGTTATTTTAAATTAAAATTAATACTATTTACGATTTTCAATGCATCTATCTTTTTTTTTATAGATTTCCAATGTATAGCCCAATTCAATTAAGTCAGTATAAAAATATATATTATTTTTTTATAAAATATAATTTTAAAATATAATTTTAATAAAAATTTAAATTAACATTTTATTCCATATTGATTTCATACTATGACTCGACAAACCCGGAATGATCACGCCATCTTATCTTATATTAATAATAATAATAAAACCTTCTACTAGAGTTTGCTGGGCCTATTTGGGCCTCCATGTATTAATACCTATGAATGCACATCAACCAGAATTGACCCAATAACACTTTCTTCTTATTCTTACGTTTGTCTTAACAATTAACCAAAAACTGAGAAAAAAAACTCTGGCGCCCAATTCTTCACGCAGTTGGATTTGGGTCGGGTCGGTTTATTCGGGTCTGCTGCTGCTATCTCTTCCACCATTCGGCCATTCGGGCACAAACGTTGCTCCTTCCTGCGATTGAACAAGCCCTAATTCGCAATTTGCTGTAATTTCGAGGTGTTTCTGTTGACCTGCTGTTCTCCCTCTTGCTGGTATGTGTGTTTCTCTGTTGGTCTCGCCGTACGGGACTTTTTTGTGGTTTGCGGATGCGTGTTAACTTGCTTTTGGACGTATATCGCTGCATAAATATGGGGGTTTTGGTTTGCGTGGTCGGGGGGGTGTTTGTGGGCTCTGGGAAGGCTTCTAGGGCGCGAATGAATTGCAATTTAAATATGTAGCTGGAAAAAAATAGGGTTTCTGACGTAATGCGTTGTTTAGTTCTATGCTTTGTTCAAATTTGAAGAATTTGAAGTGTCCTGCATTTTGTTTGGTGTGTTTTAAAATGAATGGAAGTTGTGAACCCTTAAGTAGGATCAGGATCAAAATAGAAATGATGAATTTTTAGCTGGAGAGTGCTGTGGCAGCATCTAATTGTAAGGGGATTTCTGAAAACTTTTTCATTGTCACTTTGTGCTTAGAAACCATAGCTAAAAGTAGAGTTAAGGAAGGTAAAAACGTGCAGAATTAAGCTTTGAGCATCAGTTTCGAAATCTCTTATTAAACCTGCAGCTTGGCTTTCATTTCTACTTGCGTTCTGCTGTAATTTAATATATTTTTGCTTTTATTCTTTATGTAGTTGTTTATTTTTGTATATTGACACGTAGAGGCGATGGTACCGATGTTGGGCGATAGTATCGGTGTTGTTTATTTATTTACATGGACACGTAGAGGCGATGATACCGATGTTGGGCGGTAGTATTGATGTTATTTATTACTTTACATGGACACGTAGAGGCGATGGTACCGATGTTGGGCGTTAGTATCAATGTTGCACACCAATATTAATGATAGTTCCTTTCGATTTTCAGAATTGTAAATTTGGGTGCGACTGTGGTACTTGGCATGGTAGCAGGCAGAGAAAAGAGAAGTGAGTGAACTAGAAGGTGATTTGATGCTATGAGTAGGCTCTCATTTAGGCCTCGACCCCTTGACATCAACAAGAAACTCCCGATTGTAAAATCTGTTAAGGACTTTGAAGATGATGAGGTCCCAACTTCTACCCGCAATTCCCAGATTCTCCGACTTGCTGCAGAGGCTGATACTGAGGTGGCATATTTTCTTCAATTGCCAAGAAGCTATGTCTATTGTTTTCTTAGGCTATGATTTGGCCATTTTGCTTATGAAATCCACCATATCTTTCTGTCTATTGATATATAGTGGGTTCCTTTGAAAGTTTGGATATAGATCTAGTTAGAGGATTCTATAGTAATGAATTTTGCCTAAATTTTTATGTTAATTGTCATTCATTGCTTTGCTGTGGATTTGAGAATATGAGTTGAAATGGAATGACCGACTACTTAACATTATTGATCTATGGTATTTGGTTCTAATCCTAGATGGAAGAATCAATGAATGTGGATTTTGCATTTGTCATGTTGCCAGTTGTTCTTTTACCGTCTAAGTAATTGTGTTTTGTGTTGAGTTATTTCCACAATTCATTAATTGTTATGGCTTCCTTCATTATTTAGCCATAAGGTTTTTTATTTTTTATTTTTGGCTCTGATTTGTTGAGCAAGGCACTTTTGAATGGTTTAACTTGTACTATTCTAGTGGTCATTTATTTGGTATTTATGTGGCTGTTTTTTCCACTTTTGAGGTGTAGAGCTATTGTTTACGAAAGAGAGGGTGGGTATGGCCACATTCGTTTGAACTTGCAAATAAATGAACTGAAAGGTTTTACAAAACGTTTCTATCCTTCTAGCTGTCTGATGCAGCAGGGAAAATTCGCTGGAAATGTTCTTTTCGGTTTCACTTTGTTCCAAAATAGTAAGTAATGGAAGCAAGAGGAGGTAATAGCATCTACCACACAGACAACAAATCAGACCAGTTTAAATTGTAGTTGTTATTTTCTTATGTAAAAATATATTTTTTATTGTCAGTCTTTACATAGAATTTGGTTGCTATTTAGGTCTGAGTGAGTTTTACACAACTTAGTAGTTTTGCAAAGTGCGGAAATTTGCTTCTTATCTTTTGATTAAAATAATGCATCCAGCTTCAAACATGAGATGCAATGTAATTGGTGAATCTGATGAGCTTGTAAGAATCTATATACATTGCTGAACCAGCACCACACTTGTAAATTTATAGGTACAGCATGTGCCTGGTAGGAAAGTTACATCAGAAATTCCTATTCCTGAGTTTGTGATTGTGGATACATATGAAAGGGATTATTCTCGCACCTTTATCCAAACGACGTCATACCTGCGTGCCAGGGGAGGTAATTCTTTGCACGGACCTCCAATACCTTCATTTCTCAAAGTTATGAATTCAAATTGAATATTTATGTTGACAGCCCGCGCTGAAATTGGAGATTTTGTTGAGTACGATCTTGATAATGAAGATGAAGACTGGCTTCATGACTTCAACAAAGAAAGAAAAACACTAGCTTCAGAAAAGTAATACTCTTTATGATTGTGTTTCATCTTTGTGGATGGTTTACTGATTATCTTGCACGTGTATCCTTCATTTTCTCTTTACTATTTTGTATAATGGTCTTTTTTATCAACCTAACTGTTGGGTAGTGCTCACAGCGTTTTTTATTTTCTCTGTGTTGTTATGTCCTTTGTATTCATTCACCACAAGTTCTGATTGTACTGAAATACTTGATTTGTGTTTAGATGTGGTTTTGGAGTTTTGTATAATTTTGGAAATCGTAATAAGTTGAGTAAAAGATAGGTTTTTGATGTGATGTAAATAGGTGTGGATATGACGTTGTGTATAGAAAATTGGTTTTTGATATATTGTTTTAAATGAAAAAATAGGTAGTGAATGTGAGATATTTAAGAGAGTATTATATATATATATATATATGAATAGTGTCAAAATAAGTTTGAAGCATATGTAAACAGAGTGTTGAATTCTTGGTAGGGGGTATGTAAAAAGATTCCTCATTTTGAATGTGATACATAAAAGCTGATTTGTATTGGAGTGGGAGTTTTAAAGTTTTCTTTTATTATTAGATGGAAAGCAATGTAATGCCCACAATTTCACTTTGAGATGGATGTGGTGCTCGTGATAATTATATTGTTTGAAAATTAGATAATCTAATCTATTCTTCCCATCTTCAACATGGGCGCTTTGTGTTATTTAGACCTTCTACTTTATATGCATTTCCATGTGCACACTGGGTTGTTTGATGCTTTTTACTTTTATTTGCAGATTAGAGGTAATTATTTTCAAGTTGGAGGTTTTAGATCATAAAGCTCGCGAAAGAGCAGGAGTTATTACTCCAACTCTTGGTTCTCCAATTCCTGTGCTACTAACTTTTGATGCTGCTGTTGAGGTGAAAGTTACAATTACAATTTTTTACTGATTATTTCTACTGTATTGCGTATTTTTGTGATTCTTAGTGACACTTCCATATTTCTATGTTTCCTGCTATACTAGTTCATTCTTTACCATCGCATTTCAATTATTCTTATTGTTAAGCTTGCTTTTACATATTCACCTTATGATGTCGATTCTTAAATGTTGGACATTTTATATCTTGTTTGATATCCATGTATGTGTATAATTAGATAGGGATAAACTTCTGTGGCATAACTGATCCTTTTGCTTGTGAGTGTTCAAAGGCTGTTTAATTCTTAACTATCAGGGATTATCATTAAAAGAATATGATAATGAAAAGATCTTTTAGTGGATGCCATACTCATAGAAGATGAAATTAAGTTATAACAACTTGATGGAGTTACTGATTGCTCGAAAAATAGCTGGTCATGTAAGAAGCAACATTACTTACAGAAGATGAAATTAAGTTATAGCAACTTGATGGAGTTACTGATTGCTGGAAAAATAGCTGGTCGTGCAGGAAGCAACATTACCTTTCTCAAGTGTTATTTGAGGTTAATGGGAAGGGAAGTGTTATTAAGTGTACGTGTGGTTGATCTGTGCAAGCACCTTTAGGCATTTTGTTTAATTGTGTTTTGTTTCCATTTTTGCACCGTCACATATCACACTTATCTTCCATACAAAACATCGCATTCAATAACTAATTCCCCTTAAAAACAACCTATTAAAAGAACACTAGTAAACAAACCCGTAGTTTTGGAAAGGACATGAATTGCACTCTTCTTCAACTTCAAGCATTAATGATAGTTATGCTTAACTCGCATATTATAATGAGTGCAGGCCCCAATGAGAGCTTTTGTGAAGACATTTACTTGTGGGGTCTGTTTGTCTGGGGGTTTGGATTTTGAGTTGGGATTTGAATAGTAAAAATTTTGAATTTGAATAGTTGTATGATGTGATATAAATAGGTGTTGATGTGATATAAATAGGCGTTGATGTGATGTTTTGAATGTAAAATTGATTTTTAGTATAATATAAAAAATGAAAAATAGGTGTTTGATTTGATATTTTTGGGGGGTAAAAATGGGATGAATAGTGTACTTAAAATCCAATCCCCCAAACAAACACACCCGTGATCTAGTTTTACATTCCAAGACTATACTCTTCTATTGTCTTTCTCAAAATAATCATAATGTTGGATTTAGTAATCGAACATTGTGTTAGATGCAACATGGAGGGAAGTTTCATATCACTTTACAAAGTAATAGGTATAGACTGTGTACAACCAACTTTATGTAATTGATATTTTGCTCTTTGCAAGGTGATATGAGGTAAGCCAATATTAAGGATTATGTTACAGGAAGAAAGAAAGACTGAGTTCATTTAGGGTCAACGATGATGACTTTAGATTGGGTTTTTGTTTTAGTTTAGTTTAATTTATTTTTTAGTCCTTTATTTATTTAATGTGCCTTGAGTCAATAATGTAAATACGCCCATATATATACAAGGGTCCATCTATATATATGGGTTTATCTCGGTCATAGGGGATCATTAGTTTTTTTTTTTTTTTTTTTTTTTATGTTGACTTCAGCTTGGTAGTAGTGAGAATTTGTTTTCCTCTGTAGAATTATTTCACAGTCCCTGCTTGGTAGCGGAGAGAATTGGTTCTTCTCTGCATGATTAATCCATCTAATTCTCAATAAAGTTTATTGTTATTGTTTTTCCCTACGTCCTGTCAATTGGTCCGACTTTTTGGATGACATTTTTATGGAATTATGCATACCACTACATAAGCAGAGCAACATCTAGGAGTGTGTTTTTTGTGGATTTGATTTTTTGGTTTGGGTTTTTGAATAATAAAAATTTGAATTTGAATAGTTGTTTGATGTGATATAAATAGATGTTGATGTGATGTTTTGAATGTAAAATTGATTTTCTTCTTGGTTTATGTTCATTTGGTCTACTATATTTACAACTGCACTTTTTTCCTCGTTTATGTGACAGGCATTACAAGATCTTTCAATCAAATATGGAGTTTTCCAGTCCATTTATAATTATTGGAAAGAAAAGGTATGCAGCGGCCTTATATTATGTTTCCCACAACCATATGGTAACATTGCTCTTCTGGGGTGATGAAATGATCTTATACCATTTTCTTTTCTCATAAGCTTCTTTGCAAATTTGTGTGCTGACACCTTTTAAGTGAGATCGACTTTCTAAAAGATGGTGTAGAGGGTTCTGATGTGCTCAAGATCTCTAACTTCTAATGGCTAGATAAAAATTACTGGATCAGTACTGGCAATTTGCAGAATGTCACCTTAACCATAGGAAAAACAGGAAACTAAACTCTCACCTTCATTGCATTTGCTTCAGAAACGAGCATGCATGGATTATATACTATTTTAGTAAAGTACATTTTAAAGGATTGCTTGACATGGTAAATAAAAGACTGGTAGCTGATGCAAATTTAAATTACAGGTATAATTTGATGTTATTTTGTAACCTCAAAATATATAATTTTTAATTAGACCTGCAACCTGTTATGCATGAAGTGTTTTCTGTATCTAAATACACAAGTTGCTATGTATATTCATTGCGAAGCAAAACTGATAACATAACTAGACCAACTTGTCCAAGAAATTTTATTGCAGCAGAGTTTGTATCCTGTCACCACACAGACATTTAAGTGTGCACTTTTGTGCTCTTAATTTAGAAAAATATAAACAAAACCTTTTGCTTGATCCACTGAGTTTGTTAGAATCAATGTGGAACCAAACTTTGCATTCAGTTGGAATTATGGAGTGAGATAAATGTTCAGGTATCTTTATGATTTATAGCTAACTTTTCTTTCATTAAGTAGAGAATGCTTTAAATTATGCTCTCATAAGTAAATTATGCCATTCTAGCTTTCTCATGTTCATTTCTTGACAGCGTATACGTTGGCAGAAGCCGGTCCTTCGACGGTTACAGGTGAGTTTTGGGTATTTCTTTGATTGGATTCGTATGTAGAGTTCTGATTAGTTTGAAGTTTTCTGTAGTACAAGGATCTTGGTTTTCTGATAGTCACTGTTTTTTCCTGCTGCTTCCAAATTATAAATTGATGTTTCTCCGCATCATGGTGAAAAATCTTGTTCACCATTCCCTATTTCTTAATTTAATTGCTCAAAAATTGAAACAAGCTTGAAAGACCTCTGTTTATTGACTCATCTTGTCTCACTGTTTTACCATTTTCATTTGTTGTCTAGAGTTGTTGTGAACTTGAAAGATGAGTTACTTCTTTCTCATCTTGTCTCACCATCTTAGTCTCTTTAGATGTGTTTGACAACAATTTTACTGCCAATGCTAAAAATGTTGTTGCAAGCTTGAAAGGATCAGGGCCTCTTGCTTGTTATTTTTAAACTATTTTAGCCTTACCATCGTTGTCCAAGCATTATCTCCAGTGGTCATATTGGTTAAATGATTTCGTTCTTAGAACAGGTACTATTTACCTGCTATTGACGGTTCATTACAATGCTTTTACAGCCACCTCCACCAGTTAACGATACCAATCCATACAATGTATTCCGTCCAAGGGAGAAAGCTCACAGACTTCACACAAGAAGGGTATGAGATGGTTTATCTAACAGCTATATTGTACTTTTTTTAGTGGTATTGTGTACTAGACTGATCATGGAAATTGCCTACTTATTTTCTTCTATATGATCACTTCCTTCCAAACAGATGCAACGGAGGGAAAATAACGTCCAGTCATTTGAAAAGCTTCGTCAGGTGAGTTTGTACCTTCAAAACCACAATTGAAAATCAGGTTTTGGTATTTGATTTTCCATGTAATTTCACCAGATTTTTTTTTTTTTTTTTCAACATGCTTAGTATTCTGTGGAATAAACTCTGGTGATCAATGCCATCTCCTAGGGATTGCCATTCTTGCACTTGGGTTCTGTTTTCTGGACTTGGTTTCAGTTTTTTATCCATGTAACCATAGCGATGACCAATAAAAACACACTATTTTTCTCTCACAAAACATCACATTCAAGCTTCTATTCAACCCAAAAGCCAAAACAGAAAAACAAAACCGAACTCCAAAAGAATACACCCTTAGTTTTCTGATTCATCGTCATTTCTTTGGTTGAAATGTTACTCATCACAAGTTATTTAATCTTTATTGTGAACTGATAGCGCGAGCATTAGCTGGACCTCAACCTGTTTGACAGCTAAGAGTTGTCTTACTGAAATGATGAGTTTATATATATAGATTTATACTTCTCAGGAGTATTTTATCACTTCGTTGGGTTTTCTTATTTCTATCCTCAGGTTAGGCGCAACCTTGACCAGGCAAAGACCATTTTAGAGGCTCTGATCAAGGTATTGCCACATCCTGTCATCTCAATACAGTAGATTAGCTTTCCATCTTATATAGTGGAATTTTGCAATGGTAATTTTAATGCTCATTCCTTCATTGTGTTTTTGTGTAGAGAGAAGAGAAAAAGCGAGAACTTGTAGAGAGTGAGGTCACTCTCCAAAGAATTCAATTGAAATATAAGGTTTGCTTCTTTGTCATGTGCTGCTATGGATGATTTGTTACTGCCTTCAGTTTTAATTTTTGAGAAACTAGTAGATAGGTCTTGCACATTGCTACAAAAGAGTTGTTTGTTTAAGTAAATTAAAGCAAAATGTCCTATCAGTGCAAGCCATGTTTTCTTTTAGTTGATGGAATTTGTTCGAAATGATTATTTAATCCCAAATATAGAATTAGATTGTTATTCAGCTTTTATGTTTAGTTATACCATTCTTGTGCTTAATATTTGATTCATATCTATTCAGCTAACATATCAGTAGACTTGATAATATCATTTAGTGATCCTTCATTTACATGGTCTCATATTTTAAGTTTGCATCATGAAGAATACTTGGCAAGATAACATGTTTGCAATATATTGCTCAGATCACTATTTCATTTCAATGACCCCCTATAACGATACCTCTCTGATAGTTTGTTAGGGATTTTGTTTTTCAGAAAATGATTCTCAGAATAATTATTTGTGTTTGTGAGTCGAATACAGTGTGTTTTTATTTTCTTTTTATGTTTTTACTATTATTAATAAGGTTTTCGGTGGTAACTAGAATGGAAAATCATATCATGTTGTTGATATTCATGATCTGAGTTTGTCCCGAGATATGTATAGTTTGCGTTAATATTGCCCATTGCTTCAATGGGTTAATGATGCATCTTCACTTCAAAGTTCAATCAGACCTTTCAGTCTATTATGATATATGACCAATGCTCATTTATGCTGTGGACATATAGCATGAAACAGAGCTCCTTGAAGATTCCATGGCCTTCCATGGGTTGCCATCATTTCCAAGCAAGGTTCAGTCAAGTGAAGAAGAGTTTTTTGATTCTGACGATGTGGCAAACAGTCGTCCACGCGGTCGACCTATAATGGTGCAAAATCCACCCTTCACTGAATCAAAGCTGGTTACAGTACCTGTAGGAACTGCAAGGCCGGAAGCTAGGAGGCGTTTCATGCCTCACAGTTGGTTGAATAAACTGGTACCTATCTGTCACCTTTCTTTTTGATAGAGCAATTTCTTTCCCTTTTAACTTGATTTACAAAGGTTGAGTGAATAGTGCCTTAGTTAAATACTTGTATGAAAACATAATTGCCATGAAGAATGTTGCCATGGATTTGAATCTTGATACTGTTTGTCACATGTGCTTATGCCGGATGTAATTTTAATTGTTTGCAGGATCCGAATGAGCCGGTAATGCTGTTCACAAAGCCAGTGCTTCCAGATAAATTAGCTGCTGCAGGAATTTTACCTCCATCAGATTCTTCAATTCCCAAAGAAGCATTTGCTGGCCAGTTGAACTTTCGTGGACGAATCGGTAGAGGTGGTAGGATAATTTTCGACAGGTGGAATCCCCTAATGCATACTCCAAATGGCTGTGGGAACAACTTATATGCTCCACCTAAACCTCGACATTCGTCACATCAATGATCCAAGGTGATTAGTATTTATAGCATGTTGGGATTTATATTCATCAAAATTTAACAAATGCAGTCTCTTTTTGGCTGTAGGTAGGCTGAAAATTTAGGAATGGCGACAGCAGAACATGAAAGATAGTCAGACGAGCCTGGTTCTGGTGCTGGTAATGCTTCTTAACCTTTTGATGCCGATAGGAGTCTGTACTAATGCTTTTTCGCCAGTCCTTGTATTACTGTAATTTTATGTCGTTAGAGAAACCTCTCTCTGTCTTAGGTTGAGGATATGAACTGCAGTAATGCAGCATGTTTGTTTGATAAGGGCAAAATTAGTGGCTTTTTTTTCTGTCATCATCATACTTCAATCTGTAAATGGAAAATTATGAAATCTTAGAATTTTCGCGAAAACAGCCGTCGTCTGTCTGTCGTGTGTGGCGCATTGTTTCAAATTGATTTGTAATTCTGTTTTTAGCTTTTTAGCTATAAGACCCCTTTGAACATGGAGCCATTTTTTTCACTTGATTTGATGCCTCTTGTTCAAACCTCTGGAGATTGGGGTTGGAGAAGTCATAGTTTTGATCTACCTTAGTTGTGGTTACATAAGACATCTGATGTGTGTTTCGATTATACGATGTAGAAGGTTGAGGATTGTGGTGTTATCAGCTCTTATTGAGGCATATTTTGTATGTATAGTTGTGATAATTGTTAGGGCATATTCTATAGAATATCCAACCTTAAACTTGTACTTGGATGCACACACAGCAAACTAAGGACCATTGTTGTGTTGTGTAGGAGATTGGATATTGATTGCTAACTTGATACAAAAATGATTAGGTAATATTCACAATCCCTCCGTCCGGAGGAAGAGTAATGTTTACCGACGCAAGAAAGGTAACATTTACTTTTTGTACGTAAATTTGTTAATATTAATATTATATTGGTTTATAATAAAAAAGACAATTGTGTGACGTAAAAATAATGATATTTGTGTAATATATTAGAAGTTTTAAGGATATTAATTATGTTAGTAGTACAATCACTAAATAAGAAAATTGTATTCGGATAAAAATGAAAAATAGTATCTTTTCTTACGAGACAAATGGACTATTAATATTTATCTATCAAATTTGATAGGAGGTACTCAATAGAATTATTAATTATTTCAATTGTTAGCTAATATATGTGTTAGTATATAATATATATATATATATAGAAAGATAGTAGGTATGTATGCATGATATATTTATATATATATAGCTTGTGTTTATATTTCTAAATATATATATAGCTTGTGTTTATATTTCTATTATGTATAGTTACGTTGTGTGTTTACTTGTACAATTTTTCATCTAATTTTATTATTTTAATTTTTTTTTTCTAAAAATATTAAATCAAATATTTATTTTCTATTTATTATATTATATTAAAATTTATTTTTACATTTAAAATATTACATCAATACATATTTATATTACGTTTCAAACAATTATTTTAATTCAAAATTTGACTATTAAAAAAAAAAATCAAAATTTTACGAGCAAATACATGTTATGATATATGTAAAGGTATATTTATTGTATATAGTAAAATATTATGCAATGAGCCAGATAATGATGAGTGAGGAGTGAAGGAGAGAGACGTAGACTAGACAGGCGACAAAAAATGAGAGGTAAATAGTTTTGTCCTTTATTTCATTCATATTTATAGGCAATTCAGAAATAAAATTATGGCAATCAATATGCACTGTTCAAACACACACTACATACATTTATTCTATGTAAAAGCATCTATTGTACACGTAATTCTTATGTGTGTAACATGTAAAAGTTTAGGTTGTCTTCTTTTTGGGATTTTTTTTTATTTTTTTATTTTTATTTTTGGTTAGTTTTTAGAGAAAATTGTTTTGATCATGTATTGTCCGGAGTAGCATATCAAAAATCATTTAAGGGTGTATTTGTTTGGGAATTGGATTTTAAATTCACTATTCATTTCATTTTTTCTCCCCCAAAAACATCAAATCAAACACATATTTTTCATTTTTTATATTATACTAAAAATTAATTTTACATTTAAAACATCACATAACACCTATTTATATCACATCATACAACTATTCAAATTCAAAATTTTTACTATTCAAATCTCAACTCAAAATCCAAATCCCCAAACAAACCCACCCTAAGATTACATGTGAACATATCTATTTGAGAACTATTTTAAGAATTATAATTGGATTTTACATTATATTAGTTTCATAATTTTAAAAAAAAAAAAAACAAAAAAAAAAAAAAAACGGCAGGATCTCCTAGGTGCAATCAGTGTCAAAGGCTATTTTTTTCCAATCCAATACAAGATTTAGTTATTGTGGGATTATAATTAAAAAAAATAAAATAGTTTCTTAATTTTTATTATTAATTTAAATAATTATTTGAGATGATATTTTATGAACCATACCAACTTGTGAAAGTTTATGGAAAAAGATTTGAAAATAGAAGAAGTACAAAGTGAACAAAATTTATGGGTGTATTTGGTTATGTTTCACAAGTTTAAAATTACGGGTGTTTGGTTATATCTATTAAAAATTAATATTTTATATTAAATTATTAATTTTTCTGATAGAATAGAATATAAATATATTATATATATATATTAAGAATCATATAAAAAATAATATTAGTTTGGAAGAACAAATCCGAACGAAGTATGGTTTAACAAATAGATTTTTTATATATTTTTGAAGAGTATAATATTAAAATTATATTAATTCATTATTATGATAATATTATTAAAAATCATAATACTATAATTCTCCTTTTTCCCACTTCGTAACTATACATTTATTTTATGTATTTATATTTTTAATGATAGTTTGTAATAATTTTGTATGCAAAGATAGTTTTATATATATAATGTGTAAAGTGATTGTGAGATTACTAATATAAATAATTATAAAAATGACAATATTTGTAATATGTAATGTACATAATTACTAAAATTAAGAAATGTATTTTTTTTAACAATTAAAAATGACAAAATATATATTTACTGAGAGAGTTATTATTAAAAATCATGATTAGAATTAAATTTTTGGCATTTTTTTTAGAAATCTGACTAAATAGATTTTATTTATATAGTTTACTAAGATTTGTATAGTAAAACAAATATAGCCCATTGATTCACATCCTCATTATCTGTCTATATTTTACGAGTTGCTGACATTATTGAAAAAGACTTATATATATATATATCTATATAAATCAATTACATAAAATAAGTTATTATAATATACAAAAATATTATTCTCTACGCCCTAAAAAACTTTAAAAAATTATAATTAATAAATAATTAAGAAATATATTATTAAACATAATTATGATATAATATAAATAATTATAACTTTAAATTATGATAATTAAATTAATTTAAATTTTTTTAAAAACAGATATAGAATGTAAAATTTATTATATAATTATTTAAAAAAAAGAAAAAAAAAACATTGTGGAACTCTAGAGCTGTTAAACAAATCAAACCGCTCGACTCGATTAAAGCTCCTTCGCGAACGTTAACGAGTCGAGCCGAACATAAACAGGCTCATTTAGTTAACAAACGAGCCCGAGCTTTATTCACAAATGTTCGTTTAAATAATATATTCATTATAAATATTATATATACATATAAAATTATAATTTATAAATAAATAAAATATTAATATAAAATATATAAATAAAATAATTTAAAATTTTCTTTATAATTTATATATAAATTTAAAAAAAATAAGACAAACGAGCTCGACCGAGCTTAATCAAACCTAAACGAGCCGAACACAAACACGAGCTCAAACAACAAAAAAATTCTTAACGAGTCGAGCTCGAACACTACGAACGAGCTCGTAAACTTAACGAACGAACACGAGCCTTGTTCGCGAACGTTAATAAACACTTAAAATTTGGCTAGGCTCAGCTCGGATCGTTAACAGCTCTACTCACATCCATAAAAGTTTTAACACTTTATGTACTATGGGAGAAGTACATACACAAGAATATGATAAAATTGAACGGTGACTGATCTATTGGCGCATAGCTTCTAGTTCTTCCTTCCTAAATATACAGGTAATGTATCATGACATGTAAATTGACAACGACATATATATTTATATAACAAGAATACAACACATGTAATAAATACCCCACATTACACATTCTCTTTTCATATTCTTTAATTTCTAACCAAATTTCCAAACCTCCAATTACCTTTTTTATCAGTTTCCGTACAGAACTAAAGTGTGCTAATTTTGCCCAACAAAGAAAGCATTATAATTAATTGAACACAAAAGATATTAATAAAACACACACACACACATATATATATAATAGAACAGCCAACAAATACTATATGAATTGTTTGCATGTATTATCTGTATTAACTAACCCCAATCAGCCCCCTAACTAACATGTCCGTCGTCCATACACCATAATTTCAACGTTGCCTAAAACAAATATGGTCAATAATCATAAGGACTAGCCACAATCAATCCTGCCTGTCATGACAAAATCAATACTCTACTACATATGGAAATGTAATATAAGATGATAAAATCAAAAGCACAAAGCACATCGCCCAATAATAATAAGAATGAATAATAGTAAATTGTATCAGCCCCAAAGGTCAATTATTACCAATACCAGTTGGTAATTAGTCATATCATGCTCATAGCCAATAGAATTAGCATATCATCATATTACACCCCCCCCACTCACTTCACTTGTAAAATAAAAAGACTATTTCTCAGCTCTGCCTGCACCATTGCATTGCATTGCATACACAACAAAAATGTAACACAGCAAAGCAACCAATACAAACATGAAATACGAATACTGCTTACTTGCCCATCAGGGTCATCTTCATATTGCCTTCAATCAGATTTAAATAAGGCAAACGAGCAGACAAGTGGATTCGGATCGATTTTTTACTTTCTGCAAGCAACAAATCTGGTAACGTTAGCTGAATTTGATAGTGGGAGTTGATTAAAGCATTTTGATGCACAACAGGGTACCCCAGAATGGATGAAACCTGGAATGGAAACACTCATAGGTCTACGAGCTTACACCGGATATGTAGCTCTAACTTGCTGAGGATCGAATATCATCAGAGTCCACTTTCAGCTGGATTTTCAATAAAGAGAGGAAAAAGCGCAATGGTTCATTATTTTTATCCATGCATTATTGACTTGATAACATATGTAAAGGAATTATGTAATGTACCAGATTGAGGTGGTTTAACAAAACCCCATGCAATAACTTTTTCAGCTTTTCACTCTGATCAATCCTGTGGCCCACTTTGATTGATTCCTCAAGCATGCACCACAGGCGTTCGATTGATGTGTATGGAAACCACACAGCAAATGTCTTTTTACGTCTTATAACATCAGCCGGTCGCTGCAGGTAATATATTCAGTAAGTACCCAAAAATATAATGACACCGAATCAATGCAATCAGCTACTGTTCTTTCTTCTTAGTTCTAAAAATTACTTAAAACTGTTACGCACCATAAAGCATGATCATATATGACTCCCAATTTGTACCAAGGTCACAATCGGTGTCTTTTATCAATTTTGGGTTGTCTTACTCCTTCACATTAATTAATTTTGTTTCTAATAAAAGCGAACAATATGGCATGCTGAAAAGAGGATCGAAAGATGGAAGGAGCTCTGGAATTTACAACAATTTTCTAAAGTTCAACATGCAAAGAAGAATATGCAGACACAACTTACAAGTGCTCCCAAACTTTCCATGTACTCAACCAGCAAATTAGTAGCCTCTGCATGTCGACCATAATCAACATACAGGCGGAAAAGGGAAGCTGGATCGGATTCGCCACCACTCATTCCAAAACCACTCCCACTCCGATCACCCTATGAGAACCAGTAAAGAATTAGAAATGGCCAAAATTAACTGTATTTGGTAGTGAGGAATGCAAATATCAAAAGAGCTATCAAGAGGTGCAGAAGCTATATGGGCCATTGCTAATTACAGGTCTCAACTGACATTGAAGGTGATATAAAATCTGGAAAACACATCCCTTGGGAACGTTTTCAATCAGTGATTTAACAAAATTAAGTGAGGACAAGCCAACCACAAGACCAGTTTATTATGCTGAAATTTCTTTGAAACTCTTTTTTGCGTCAGGCGTAGAAATCTACTGGCACTCATTTTACATCCTGACATGATGCAAAAATTCCAGCTACTCCAGACAACTATGATTTGGGCTTAAGCCAACAAACACACACCCCCGATAAAGATCTGCTTAAGTGAAAATCAATTTTACATGATGGCTTCCTCAACTTGACTCTTATTTTCTGTAGCTAGAAAAGCATTGTCCAATACAGATGCTTTAATATATTATAGCACTCTTACCATCAGAAGCCTGAGAAAAAAGTGAGAGCTTCTAAATACTAATTATGTTATGAGAAGATGGAACACTAAAGTTTACCTTGAAGTGTCGAACCAACCAAAGCGGCAGCTCAATTTGTGAATCTGCTGAGAGAAGAGTTCCAGCAACTATTAAAGGCAACCTGGGATGAAATAGCCTGTATTTATCCTGCAATTTTGAACCAGTAATATAATAAACACCTTGGACACAGAAATAGTGTTTGAAATTATTGACAGCAGCAAAATACTTCCGTCTTTAATACAACTAGTACCTCAAATTCAAACAAAAATTAAAAATGAAAACATAAGGGAGTCGAAGATAATACAATATGTGGAAATTGAAACGCATTAAGTAGGAAGATGAACACCAATTTTGTGCCTCTTTCAAATCCTTCACAGTTGAATCAAGAAAATTAAAATGCTTGTGCAAAGAACAGTAAATGTACATATACAAGGTAACATACAGAGGTTCTAACTTCCAACAAGATGCGGCTAAGAGTGCTAGAGCAGAGCACATGAAATCATAGTCTCATAATCATTAATTTATTGGTGGAAAGAAACTGAAATTATGAATAGAACATATAGTTATAGTCCTGACAGCATAGACTGGAACAATAATAAGCAAACAGTAAACTATTTTCTAGGGAAAATATATATTGCAACTCAGTATGGAATTCTCTTAAGGCCAAAAAAGAGGGCTTTAAAAGATACGGACAAGGTAGAATTCAAGTGTCTCCCAGTGGCCACTGCCCTCAAACTGTTGCGCAGTTGTAGCTGCATCAAGCGAATCATGAACTGCCTCATCTTCTGATGAAGTCAACAATAACCCATACATTTTACGATTTTTCCTGAGAAAAACAAAGACTTCCGTTTCAGTGGATTTACAGAAATATCCAGAATCTATGTCTAGGTATAGATAAGGGATAAACAGTACAGAATCACCATGCAGTTTACAGGCTGTAACAGCAGCAATAGACGTATTTGTACTTACCCATACATTGATGAGATTTGTCGGCTTGGGCGGCATTTCAATGCCATTGCAATAAAGACTCTTTCAAGTTCCCTGAATTGTGATCATATTGGCTAATAAGAAAAACGAATATAATTAAGGTATAGCTAAGAACATGGGTCCAAGAAGACAGTGCATAACCTTTTAAGGCCAGAACCCTTCCAAAATTTGAGTATCACCGTGAAGGCCATATCATATGAATTTGATTCAACCAATTGATCGATAAGCTCTGCTGATGGTTTCTCAGTTCCTGATAATTCAGCAGTTTAGTTGCATGGAATGGATTTAAAAATCATGTCCAGCAGAAGATAAAATCAAACCATCATTAAATTGTAACACCAAATTAATTACATCACATAAACAATTATCCTTCAAGAATGGTAAGTTCAAACCAAAGTCAACATACTATCTTACCAGAAAAAGTCCACTTGACACCTGCCAATGAGAGTACATATTCCGCCGATGTTAAAGTAAACTCCTTTTCAAGTTTCTCAACATCTAAATAAGATGGTCGCTTTTGTGGCGAGATATCATCAGTAGCTGAAGCACAAGACAGGGAGGTGATAAGTGATTTGCATAACAAAATTACAATGAGATCAACCATTAACAGAAATTCCATGTAAATGAATATGCTTTACATTGTCCTTGCTCTGTAATCCTAGCCCTTTTATTTGGATAGTTTTCTGTGCCAAGTAATGTTTCATCAACTGGAGAGTCAATCCAAGCGTACGAAGGATGGACAAGCTGCAGAGAATTAACAGCCGCAGCCAACCCATTTAATCTCTCTTGCAGCATAGAAGACCTGGTTTGGTGGTCTTTCATGGTTGATTCAGCTCTCAACCTCAGAGAATACAAGTATATGTAACTTGCAGCTTTACGCCAGTTCTGTCTATGCATCTCAAATGCATAAAGCAACTTGAAAGGGTTTGGCTTCGTTGAAATATCAGTCCGCTCTGCCTGCAAAGCAAGTTGATGACATCATCAATTTACTGTAGTAAATCAAATAGATTGAAATATGTCCAAGAAATTATATCAAACCTTCCAGGCAAGCTCTCGCTCTACCTTGTCAGCTAAACCAATTAATGGCAACTGGCCATTACATAGTATCTGCAAACAAGAGGAGAATTAACACCTACCATATTTAAATGGGCAGTATTCAATGTTGAAGTACATAATATAATTCAATGTTATGCTCAAATCTCAAGGTAGCTTATACTAGAACATATGTCTGAAACTTGGCTGATGCAAGAGGTTTGAGATCACAAGAATCATAAACCTAAAAACCGGTATAATGGAAGCATACACTCAAGGGGCACAATAACAGAAAGATATGGACTTGGAGCAATGCTCTAATTCTAGAAATAAGATTCGCAGCTTTGATATTTGTCTATTCTCTCTGCAACCCTCAAAAAGATTGTGATCATAAACATAACACATGCAATGGACATAATAGGCCTGGAAGAAAATCAAACATGGCAAACAAAAGAATGGAAAACCACCTTAACTGCACCACGTTCATAGAGCACAAAGACAAGACGCCTCAAGCTTATATTCTTGCTTTCCTCATCTGGATTTGAAATGATTGCACAATATGCATCATGGTAATTATTGAGATCCAAGGTGAATTTAAATACATTAGCCCAAAGCCGGCCCTTCACAGTAGTAACTGTTTCCAGAAAATCCTCACTGGAGCTACTATTCATAGTGGAAAGAGCTTCATCTACTTGCTCAAGCGCAGCTAAAGCAAATTGGCAAGCAGCATCACTCAAATTATATTGTTCAAAAAGCTGCATCACCCATTGGTAGTATTGGAGTTTCCATTCTGCAACTGAGGCAGAAGTGCCTGTTGATGGAATAAATGACTCAGAAAAGAGAAAAACTCACAAATAACTCCAGAAACTGCAAAACTTAACAAAATTATGATTAACAGAATGAGTAACTGAAGTCAATTCGCAGCCATCCTGCTTCATGTGGCAAACTCCGCAAAACTTCAGAAGATCCCTCCACTGATGCAGCTCTGCATAAAGAATATAAAAGAAATGTTACAAGAGATTAACATTATTTTTGTTTTATACAGTTGATGGTTGCCATTGAAATTTTGATCCCAAAGAGAAGTTCTATGATATTACCTTTTAGACCATCATTTTACAGAATGTATTCAGATAAGTAGATGTAATAATGAACAAATAGGATCCAGCCATATCAGCCTACTTGCACAAAAATGTCCCAATGATGGGTAACTAAATTGAGAGAATAAACCTATGGACTTTTGCTTGTTTAGTCATCCACACCCATACTCATGAACGAGAAGTATTAGATTAATCAAAACAACTTGCACAAAAATAATCTTATCTTTTACATTAATCATATATCAAGTTATTAATCATCCAATTAATATCCTCTATTCAAGCTGTACCTATACATCACCGAACCTAACTATCACCACTAAAACCCCTATACATCATCAATTTATTTTACAAAATTATACAAAAAACTCAATAATTAAATTGAATAGGTCTCACTATTATACATCACAGAAATATAAAATCAGACCCAAGTAACCATAATTGCAAACTAAATAAAGTGATAAGCATAAAATGTGAAACACCCTTAAATTTTGGACAATTAATTTTATTATAATGAGATAGGTTCTATTAATTTTTACACCTCTGCATTCAAATTCTATAAATGTCATGAAATCATGTCTAAAGATCTTTACAAACCTGAAGAAACAGCGAAGTGCTTCCCCAACCTTTTTGTCCTTAACTGGACCGTGCAACCCATGTTGTGTCTGAGCGACAAGACAACATCCAAGAAGATGTAGAAGTACAGACAATTTGTCATCCACAGACTGTAGGCTTCCAAATGTTTTCTCCTTGCGCGAATATGCATCCACCAAAGCAAGCAAATACTAGGAAAGAATAAAACACAGCAACCTCAGAGCCCTGTTCCCAAAACAGAACATAAGCACCAGAGTAACAACAGAAATAAATGCAAGAAACCTCTGTGGCATTGTACTGGCCATGTCTAAGTAACACCAGTGCAAGATCAATTGCATTGCTGAAGAATACGGAAGAATCATCTGTGCTTCCCCAAATTATCCAGCTGGAAAACTCTCGAGTCAGGCTAATTAGAGTGCTGGGATGTTGAAATCGATTGGCGGGAAGGGTCCTCATTTGTCCACAAGAACTTTGCATGCTCAATAAAAGGACATATGCCAATGGATATTCGCATTTCCCAAGCTTTCCATTCCACAATCGCTTGTCCACATTGCTGTCTGACAAGAAACAATTAATAAAGCATGAGAAAGGAAACAATGTGGAAGTAGATTGAGCTGTGCTCAAAAGTAAGCTATAAAGCAGGAGAAAAGCAACTTGAGTAGCATATTATCCATCGTCACTACATGACTAACAGCAATTATGTTTGACCAAAAAAGAAAAGCAAAAAAGCATAAAAACACTGAATATAGTGCATAACATCAGCCATAAATTAATAAACCCAAGGTAGAAAAATTAGTTTATCATTCTGGTAGTGAAAAGATTGTCAAGCTGCCAACTGGATAATAAGTAAATGCATATATATATATAGATATTGGACCTACCAATTTGTAAGGATGATAGCTGATAACTAAAATCTTCAATTGCAAGTGATTCTGAAGGAGTCGTCCCAAAGAAATGGATGATGTGCCATTCTGTAACAATTTCATGAATCATCGGAATTAACTCAAGTTTAACTTTAGAAACATCCTCCTGTGACATGTTAATCTGCAACATTAAAATCAAAGTCATAAAAAAGTTTACTGAAACTTTCAGAAATCATATGAAAAAGGAAGATCCCATTAAAGGTGCTTTTAAAGAACAAAATAGTTTGAAACTAAACACAATAGATAAATAATTTATTAAATAATATACAGGGGTATTAATCCCATCCAGGGAGCATTGGAGAACAAAAATCTTACAGGATTTAATACATGATTTCAATCTTTCAACAAAATCACATAAAAGAAAACCTTAACTCTCCATGGTTAATAAGTGACAAATCAAAATCAGTTTATCAACATCCATTAAAGGGCTGGATGAATTTGGAATTCAAGAGAACCAAGTATAGAAAATAGAAACCCTATCTGAAAAATATAAACTGAAAAACAAGTATACTCTAACACCAATATATATATATACATATTTATATATAAAGATGAAAGGGGGCACCAACTTTCTCAGATATGTTTCGCAAGCATTGGCAGGAAAATAAAGCAGATCTGCTAATCCAGAACAGAACATCAAAATATTTAGTGGTCAATAATAAAACATAGATTCTTTTTCATACTTTACTATACATCTTAACCAAAAACATATCATTAAACGCAATTTGCATTAAGCATCCTAGTGTAGTGGGTCTTCATATTTTATAGAGGTCGAAAATACAAGTTACATTGTTCAAGGGCTCATGGTTAGGGGCTTCTACCACACAACAATATAAGTCAATGAGAACTTTTTAAGCCAACCAGGTGCCAAAAAATGTAAAATGCATTAGGTTTCCCTAGAAATAAAATGTAATATTATATTAAACTTACCTGCCCGCTGATGCCAGTCATGTAGCTTAACAGCATTAAAACGTCCAATACAGACTCAAACATCACTTTTGAGATTTGAGAGACAGACTGCACTATTGCAGAATAATTTACCCCCAGAATTGTTTCAGCATCGACATTAAGTACAACTTTTTGAGGCACTAAAAAATTTAAGTAGCTCTCGACCACATTCAAAACATTGCTCCATGAGTTAGCTTTCTGGCACAGTGCATGAAGTGACAAAAACATATTTGCGGAAAATTTTCTTAGGTTTTTATGATTTGACAATTCTTTCTCCCAAGCTGTATCAGCACCAAGTTCAGATATTCGTACAGAAGTTGAAGACCCATGTCCAGTTTCTAGGACCTTAAGAACACGAACAACAACATCCTCAGGTGACATTTGAGGTGTTTTAACAAGCAACTCATAAAATACAGCCGATGAAGCCTTGCCCAGCTGCTGGCTTACACTCCTAACACATTGTAGTAATTCAAATAGAATCTTTTGGTTAAACTTATCATCAGAGAAAACCAATCCAGGGCTTAAATAACTGTTTCTCTCTTCAAAAGAACCTGGAAGAATATAAGTTGAGAAAATCAAGTATTGAATAAAATGGACAGGTCAAACATATGATTCTAAAAAGCCCAGGCTTAATTGACTTCAATACAAAATCAGGTTACCGTAGATTATATGTTCAGCATCCTCTAAGCCACGGCAGAGAGAGATGGTGTTGTTCCGAACTACACCAACTGCACCCGTAGATGGATCCATCAGAAGACCGCATGATGCATTGTACTTGAGCCAATTATTAATGTATCGGGAACACATATTTTTCCAACACTGAAGAATGGCAACAGGGTTTTCAATTCCACTCTACAACAGAAGAGGCATTTTATAAGCTCCCAATACATTCTTGAATATGTATTCAATCCAAGTAGAAAGACCATAAAGGAAACTAAGCTTAGAAAACAAAAAACATTGAAAGGTAAAGCATTGTGGTGTCACGTCTACCATGCAGTTCCACCACAACCACAAGAAAACCATCATTTTAAAATAGTTACTTCTAACATGATGTCCGAAAAAGTACCTGATGTTCAATGATTGACAAAATCTCAGCCTTCAGACCACCAATAGTGAAAGAAACAAACTCTGAATCAGTGAAATATTTGTTATAATCTTCCAAAGTTCGCCTCAGCACAGTTCCACAATATACCCCAGGAAAAAGCAAGACGCGCATAAAAACTGAAGATATAAATGGGATGACTTCCTCCTGCAGAAGAATGTGTTTTAATATACCAAATACATTTACATGCAGGAGAACTAAATATACTCGTAAGTGTAAGTTAATGTGTTTAATGAACTTAAACCTCACAATCTAAGAATCTAACAATATACCATTTCCCAGTACTAAAATAAACCATGCAGCATTATCAGTGAATCACAATCTCTGTAACTTTTATTTCCCTCAACTAAATAAATACTCTACCTGGTCAAAGCTCGCAATTACAGTTTAAATAGGACAAAATAGTAAGGGCCAGGGGGTGGGTTTGACGGGGATGAAATTTCACCTAAAGAATTCGAACTGTCATGCACTCTATTATTAGATTTTTGAAAGAACAGTGTTACAAACAAAATAAATAAACCAAGTAGCCTAGGAAGTGTCTTTTGGCTGTATTTAGCTTCATTCCATCTCAAAACTTCACATTGAATTTGGTAGTTTCACGTACCAAACCCATTAGCATGGCAAATGCAAAAAAACTTACCCTTATCTTATTAACAGGAGACTTAAAAACATCAATTCACATGAATATTTTCTAATTTTAATCCTTCTTCCAACTAGCTCAAACTTTGTGCAACAAGATTGCATTTGCAGTTGGATGAATAGAAAGGATTCATAATATATAAGAGTATAGGCAGGAGAATAAATCAGTAATAGCACACCTTTGAAGATGAAAATGTGGAATGGGCAAGCCAAAGAAGATCATCTGGAGAATGCTCAGAACTTTGAAATAGCAGGTCGGCAATGAAATTTTCTTGCAAAGCATAGTAATGTGATAATCCCCTACAATAAAAATTTTAAAACTAGTCAACATGGAGAAATAGCTTGATAAACTCCTCAAAATCAAATAAAGTGATGAGTGCTACAGGAACTAGCTTTGTTCAAACCATTGCAGAGTCTGTCCAAGGAGAACTAGTGTGGAAGGTCACAAACAAGTCATCATTAAAAGTAACAAAAAGATCCAAAGTACATCAGAAAATATTTATCTAAAATAAAAGTAATCAGTAAAGGCAGGATCTAACAGAGAAATCCATCTAGCATTGAGTGGCTTACTCTGTGGTATCATCACAAAAGAGATCCTGCATTATGAGTCCCTCTTCTTTGAGAATCCACACTTTGTCCGAAGTAACTTTGACATCAATAAGTTCACCCTTAAAATTTTAAATAGCAGACTTAATGAAATATTTTGAAACAAGCAGGTGAATTATAAGCTGTACAAAGAAAGATAACTTGACCAGTTACCTCTCCCAAAGAGATTTTTCTTGAAGAAGTCTCAAGTGACAATGGTACTCTATTCCCCACATGGCAACGAAGGCAGTATAGAAATAGTGTGGCAGTGCTAACTTCCTTAACAATTGGACAAATAGAAACAAACATCTTACAGTTACTCATATTGTCTGTGTATGACTAATAAAACATTAAAGGGGGGGAAAGGATGAAGAGAAAGATAATCCCAAACTAAAAATGTACCTAATTTCAGTGAAGTCCAAATGAAAAAATAGTCAATCAAAATATGAAATACAAGAAACTATAGAAACAATATTCTTATAGAATGTGAATCAAGCATCTTCACAAAGATATAACCACAAATATATTGTGCAGCAGCTGATAATGGAAACAAACGATTCTATAAATGTAATATCCTTCTGTCTGGTCTAATGCAGAGTATCACAGAAACAGATGCAGATGCATGATGAAAATGTTTCAGTCCAACAACATAAATTAGCTCTCATTTATCAGTCTTTGCATGACACGGAAAATAACACCAGACTACTTAGCATCAATGTCAGGATGATCATGTTTCACCTTGCTGTCTACACTCTACAGCCACTATGAATATAATGGAAATGGCTAAATTTAAACCACTGCACAAATTTAATGCCCCGCATCATGAATTCCACCAAGACAGACAGGGCAATACATGTTATGCTCTCTAACACAGCTTGGGAATTCTATTAGGGAAAACTATAAAAGAGAGAAGAAGAAAGATTCAACAATTCACATTTACAACCACAAAACTGTAACCACTGGTTGCAATCTAGCACACGAGCGCAACACAAAATTTGGAACGTAGAGTACTATTATTTTATTATGAGTTAGAAATTTCATTTGGATCAAAGTTGTTCAGTATTGTTCCATAAATTCATGCAGCAGTAGCCCACTATAAGGACCAAACCCTCTCTCTGACAGAAGGATTCCCATGAATTCATTGTGTTTCCAACCCGCTAACTTTGGCAAAGACTAGAGAAGATGCATTTAGAAAATTCTTCCTCAATTAGTTAAGAGGATGAAATTGGCTGCAGCTTACTCTTGCTCCATGGGTAATTAGCTAATCCTTCACAAACTTCTCTTTCACTTCTTGCCTTGTGTTCTTATGCTCTCCTTTTTGCTTCAACATTCCATCTTATACATCCTCTGTTGCTATTTTAGAAAAAATCTTACTGTCGATATAAAGCAGTGAAAAAACACAATGCAGTTTAACCATGAACCACTCATCAAACATGATGTCCTAGATTTGGCATTCATGAATTAATGGACCAAATTTAGATTGTGCTTGGACTCTAAGACTTTGATCTTCTTGCAAGACAATTGTTATCAAGCTCACATGGAACAAAACCCCTTTCCACCATCATATGTACAACATTTATTATTCCACTCAACCACAAGAAAAATAGTAGTTGCACATCACAACTGTCACAACTCACAATTTCTCTGTAGCTTCTAAATCTGCACTACAATGATCTGAAACCTCAATTTCAGCTGACAAAATCATTTCCTAAGAGCCATATCACCAAATAGAAACAACCATTTGACCAGCAGCTTAATGAAACCCCATCAACCAAAATGACAAAGGCTAAAATATCAAAATTTGTACATACTTATATTTAAAGTTACATTTCATTGAAAATAAAATAAAATAAAATAATAATAATAATAATAATAATAATAATTAAATATACTTGGTGTGCAAACTAAAAAATTTGCATACATTAACAAGGGAAATGTATCATCATTTATATATAGTTTTCTAACAATCATACACAACGACAGATTTATATGATAGGTGTGAACAAAACATACATGCATTAACATGATATGATCTCCCTGTTTAAAATGAAGGTATTACGCAATCACACCCTATTAATATGATCTTATAGAGGGCCAAAATATCAGGCAAAAAAATGGAAGAAGAAATAAATCTACAGAGACAGAGTAAAGAACAAATAGCTGAAAGGTCTATTTACGTGTCAGAACTAGTATGTAGGCAATCACCTTTCCATGACTAGGACATCAGTAAACATAGAAACCGAAAAAATTAATCATAATTTAATAGAAAGGAAAATAAGCATGAGAATTAATACCAAGCAGATTAATACTAGTTTAAAAAAGAAAAATATGTGGTCCTTAACTGCAGCATACCAGATTTTCTTTATGTAGCACTGCAAACGGAATTATGTCAATATTGTTAGCAGTCTCACCCACCCACAAATTTATGAATGCACCTGAAAACAATGTGTGGAGAAAAAAAATGTTCGTTATAACTTGTAATGTACGATAATTATAGCAATCAAGTCACTAAAGTTCCTAAAAGGATAATGAAGAGAAGCTAAAAGTGTGTTCCTTGAAATATGATGCTCATAGCAAGATTTTTATCAAGCCTAAAAATTACCATTATTTCTTTCAATGACTAGTCTTTCACCAACATGACAACGACATGGTAAAAACTAGATTTATTGAGGGAAATGGATCAAGGAATACTCGATTTTAATGCTATAATTGTTCTTCATGATGCCCTAAATGCATTACTATCAATGAATTATGTACCTACAAAAAGCAAAATGATTAGGCAATGCCACCACAAAGTACATCACTTTAATTGCTGGAAACCAAGTTGCATATAATAGGACTTGATTATATGGATATATATTCCATTACAAATGGTTACTGTGTTTCAAATATAAGAGAGAATATACATGTCTAAGTGTAGCCCTTTAGACATTTGTGTATAATGGGAAAACTAAGTAACTATATTATCGGCATCATATCTTCAGCTCTTATAATTCATTGAAAAATCAACAGTAAATAAGTGAATATTGTTTTCATATTCCCCGAGGTAAGGTTACAAAAATATGGGAGTAATAATCCTACCCCAATTCAACTCTATCTCCTCTCTACACCAATGTTTTATCCATGTAGACTACACTCTTCAAGCTGAAGCATATAAATTTATCATGCCCATCTTGTTATCCGTACTCCATTTAGTGCCTTGGTGACTCTACATCAAATTTGATATTTAGACTTGGCATATTGTATAGACTAGAGATTAACTCTCCTTGGAACTTGTTTCAAATATTGATTTTTTCTCATTCAACTACTTCAGTTGTGCTACAACATCTTTCAAACAAGCAATGGAACACATAATGCAAAACCAACATATTCTAAGTATTAGCACTCTCCCCTCTTTCGCATTATGTGTGACACAACACAAGAGGGTCATACACAATAGCACAACACCATTTCACAGCTTCATAAGCACAATAAGTACGTCACAAGAGATTGAGTATGCAAAACCCGAATAAGTCTAACATATTCTTATGTCGAGATAATGCGGTCCCAGGGGGGGGATGCAGTTGTAACAAATGACCTTTTAAAGATTTTTCCGAAAGTGTCAGAATCAAATATCTTATGTGCCTAGCATACCAAATAAAACAAAATAGCACAAAGCAAGCACAATGCCAAAAATTGGAACCTACCTCCAAAATGAAAATTGTTCCAAGTGATTGCTAAACCTAAATTCTCAACCAAAGCAACCCAACTTTCCCAACAAATTCACCTAAAAATCTAACCAAATGAAACCCAAACGCACGGAACAGAAAAATCATCCCACAAACACAAAGCCAGGAACTAGAACAGGATGCAACCATGCAGCCATTGGCTCTCTAGTTTGGTAGAATCGAACAAAGGGGAAAACAAATCTCATAAATCAGATAAACCAATAGTAGCCTAAATAAAAACCTGTAACCCAAATTAGAGATCAGTGTGACCCATATCACAAACCCTACCTAAACTTGATAGAGGGTAAAAAATTCTCTCAATTGTGACCCCAATATCGAATATAGGGCATAACAAATTGCACAATCAGATCGTTCAACTGCAACCCAAATAAGAAACCCTACCCAAATTGAATGAAGTGCAAAACAACTTGCACAGTCGGATCACCCAACTGCAACCCAAATCAGAACCTAAAGCTAACTGCAGCCAAATGATCTAAGACATCCGAACTACGCATAGGAAACCAAAACACCGTTGAGCGGACTAGAGCATAAGAAAAGTTGGATCAACCAATTGAACAAGCCCATGCAGAAGATGAAACTAACAAATTTGGGGATGGTGACGAGCATCAAAGCTCACAGGGGGAGATGAATCCGACAGTGGAGATGGAAGCAGGACAGTGAAGAGACAGTGTTATGGGAAATTTCTCTTGAACAAATGGGTGTACCATGCTTGCACTTCCAATGGTGCATTTTCTGTTTTTGGCAGGTCAATGATGGGTAGGCAAGTCAACAGGAGAGATGAGACTAAATTAAAGGCATAAGTAGGATGTTACTATGCAAATCAGAATCGGCTTGCCAAATTCAAATACAAACTCATACCCAAATAAAAAGATCCTGCCCAATTCCCCAACCCAAGCAACCATTATAAAGTCTAATGCCTTTCACTAGGCAATCAGGAATTCAAGATATGATGGCTCCGATAACATGTAATTATGTGAATATTATTCTCCATGTCCCACAAGGTAAGGTTACACACATATATATTTATGTGAGTTAAACCTCTCCTAATCGGATATCTCCTATTAGTCTCTATCTACACGAATGTTTATCTATTTAGTCAACATCAATCATTCAAACAACCATCAAGCCTCAGTGGTAGGTGACATGTAGACATGGAAACTTATGTTTAAGATGGATAGGAATGAAACAAATAAAAATGACTGAATAGCATTTTAAGCAAGGAGCTTGAAAGAAATTTTTTCAAAGCAAGTGTAAGATCAAAACAGTAATCATTAGAATTTACAGAGCAAGTCAAAAGGTCATTTTTGAGAGATCAATATCAGAAATAAGATGGGAAACTTGCCTGATGGTGTTGGGATGGTCATTGCATGACTGAAAATTTTACTACGGCTTGAGAGGTCCCAAACTCGAAAGCTTCCATCAGAATGAAGCACAAAAAGCAGCTTTCTCTGTAATACATCTGATAATGCTAAATCCTGTACAGCAGCTAGCGTCGGAGACCTGGATAAAAATTGATGAAAACAATTATAAGAGAAAACCATAATGATTTTAATGTGGTTCTAATCCCATTCATAGTTATCTGAACAGTGATTTCCTAATCTTGTTTGTGACTTCCAGATTTCACCATAAACAACAAAAGAATCAATGCCGGCAGTATGCTAACAACTATTTTGATAGAAGTATTACGACACTGAACTGATCAGATTATCCAAAGAGTTTAACCGAACTATATAATTTCTATAAAATGAACTGCTTTAAAAGAAATTAAAATCAGATCACACCTTCTTCTCATTAATTTCAAGAATACATCCATAAGCATACATTTATAGAATCTATTTAAATATCTCAACTTGTTTGTCTACCAATTTCTTTCACTTCACTCAATGTAGGATGACAATCTTCAATAAGCATCTACCTGGTCTGTACTGACCAAGATTTATGCCAGTTTTATCCCCTTTATCATTCCATCATCATATGACATATTCTTCAACCAATCCGAATGGCATTACTACAATTGATAACACCTCCTTAATTTGTGTGCTTATTATACAAATGCTTAAACAATCTAAGTACATAATGGTAAACAATAACTAGTAAAGGAGAGGAGAAAAAAAGACTTCAGATAGTTTAAACAAATATCATTCCCTACCATTCTAACAATCAAAAAGTTCTATCAGAAGTTCCCCGTTTATTTAGAAGTAATAACTGCATTCAATAATTATATTTAGATTACTTCACTAAGCACCACACCAGCAGAAACATTAATCTATCAATATAGCCACAGTTATTGTCTATTTTCCTTGGTCTTTCATCTACACAAATAAAAGTGTCTTCCTCTCAATAAAATTATGAATAAATAAAATAACACTGCATTCTCAAGATGGAAAGAACAGAAGAAAGAGATCATGAATGAGCATTTACCAAGACAAAAAATGAAATGAAAGGTTACAGGACCACTGTAAACTCCTTGTAAGGAACATTTGAAAATCCACTTACATATAGAATCAGTGTATGCTCCTCCAAGAGAAGATCACAATTAGGAATGCAAAATTCCTTAACTCCAAAAAGATGAAAAAATGTAATTACCTTGACAATATACCCCATAGCCTCCCAAAGCCAGCATCATCCCGTAACTCATAAACAAAGCCTTTATTTGACGAAGGAAAAAGAATGAAGGTTATATTTAACAAATAAAAAACACTCATACGTTAAATAACACCAAGTTGATGGCAGCAATATGAATTACAGATACAAATTTTCAGCAACTATCATAGAAGTAAGATATTTATACATTTTTTCTAAAAACATTCAGGAACCAATATATTGGACGTCTACAGAGAGCTTTGGAATTTATAATGATAACTACGACATGATTACGACCTCTTTTCATTCTTCTTCATAAGAAAAATACAAATCTGATACTTGATAAAATTAAGTCTAAGAAATAAAAATTCTGATACCCAAACAAAATACAATAAACATAAACCCTGTTATAGACCTGAATTGCTTGGGTCAAGTGTGCCGAGCTGGAAAAAACCAATAGATCCATCACTCCTCCCAATCAACATACATCCTTCTGCAGCTGTAACTGCTGTTATTGTACCCCAACCAGGTTGAATTTGTGTATTGTACTCAATAATGTCGTCAGCGGAGACTTGTGAAGAAGTTCCATAATCAAAAATTTTTTTTAATGTAATACAGTATGCTACCCCCGAGATTGTCAGAGTATAAAGCACAAAGTGATTTCTCGAAACAGAAGAGTTGCTCTGCATGCAATATACAAAATAACAGTGACACAACAATCTCAGCAACCAAATATTAATACACTTAGGTTATAGACAAAACCTCATCTCTGTAGATAAAAGCAAAGGGGAAAATAGAGTCAGGAAAGATGAGCCGCAGCCCACTCCTCGACAGTTCTTTAGAACTCGATAGCTCGATAATCTCCAGAAAATTTGGCTGAGCCTTACTCGTTTTCCTGTTGAGAGAAACAAAAATGCAATTGCAAGCTATCCATAGGTAACTATCCGGACCAAAACGGAATCCAAAATTCACACGGCAAATTCAAACTACCAGATAACATAAGTAGGTGAATCTCCAATGGCGCAGCAGGAGGCGAAATCCTTGGCTACTGAATTTTCCAAGGTGCTGGGTGTAGAACCTGAAGAAGACGATGGTACGGAGACCTGCCGCCACTCGATGGAGTCAGTATTGCGTAACGGAGCCTCCATCCCTGCCATTCGCCATCTACTAGAGCTCCCCATTGACACTGCCGGAGTAACGAGAGGTGACCGGCGGCAGAAAATCCGGCGTAGATCGCGAAAATTTGAGAGTAGAGCAGGCAGCAGCAGAGAAAGCAAGGAAATGAAGGGGCGAAGGGTTTTTGGGAGGGAGAAATGGCGAATGGCGAGGGGGTTTTCGTTCTTCAAAATGACTAGGGCGTGTTTGGCCAGCTGACGTGGATTAAATGGATTTGTTCATTTACTTTTTTTCTCAACGGGTTAATTCAACATAAAAACTTAAATTATCGAATATTTATTTTATTTTTTTTTTTTCCCTAAAGTCTATTTTTACATCATTATATTTTTTTTTTAACTTCAAAATTCTATTTTTATTTTTCCACAAAATATTAATTCACATAATTACTAAGGGTGTGTTTGTTTGAAGGATTTTGGAGGATTTTCACTATTCATTCAATTTTTTCCCCCAAAAACATCAAATCAAACACCTATTTTTCATTTTTTATATTATACTAAAAATTAATTTTACATTCAAAACATCACATCAAACCCTATTTATATCACATCATACAACTATTCAAATTCAAAATTTTTACTATTTAAATCCCAATCCAAAATCCAAACCCCCAAACAAACACACCCTAAATTTATTCCAAATTTTCAACATGCCCAAATTCACTTGCCCTAAGGATTTGTTCCACAAAAACCACATAACCGTTCGTCCTTCCGCCCACAATGACTCCCCTCCCAGGCAAACTTAAATGTGTGTTTTAAGTTAATATTATTCTTTAATTTTAATTTTATTTTATAGTATAATTTGCTTATTTTATTGTGTTCTATATATTTTTATTTATTATGTAGTTATTTAGTTTGATTATTTATTTTGAAAATACTTTTATTTATTTATAATTAACTTAAATTAATTTTATAGAAGAAGTAATGTTTTTAAAATATTTATTTTTTTGGAAAAGATAAAAATAAAATAAAAATTTTTTTGAATAAATTCGATGTTATATATTATTTAATTAATTAATTTAATTTATATTATTTGTTAAATATGTTTGGTTTAGTAAATTTTACTACAAAACAAAATAAAATAGGTATTGATTGTTATACGATAAACAAAAATGAAAAATATATCAATTAAAGACAGGTAGACTAATATTTAATTTATGTGTTATATATATATATATGTATATATATTTAAATTTAAAATTATAAGCTTAGGTCGAGGACTTCATAGCGACATCTCCTGTGTGGCGGTTGGTGAACGGAGGAACGGAACGAAGAGAAAGAAAAGCAAGAGGAAGAAGGAGAAGAGAAAGAAGGGGTTAGTGGCGGCTGCGTGTTGAAATGTTATTAGGTTAAAAAAAAATTAATTAATTAAAAAATATATTGTTAATTTAAATTATTATATATTAATACAAATAAAAGATAATTTAATTATTTGAATGAAGTCGAAAACCTCCAATGTTAATGATAATTAAAAATGTTATTTATATACTACAACTTTAGAATCTTTTAGATTGATAGCACTCGTGGGAATAAATTCAAAATTCTTTATTTTGAAAAAATTAATAAATATTATATTTAATATAACTTAAGATGTTTTTAAAAATTATTCAAATGTTTAAATATTAAATTTAATAGCATTTTATGTTATATAATAAGTGTAATATATAAGTTGGTAATTATATATATAATATATGTATATGTATGTATATTGTAAGTATATATTATTATATTTATCTTTGCATATATATTAAATATGATATGTTCTAATCTAATTAATGCAGTGCAGAGAGAAGGAGCAGGGGGAAGACTAAGTGTGGAGAATTGATTTCATTTCAATACATCGTGGTATACATATATATATATAGGTTTTCCAACCAATCACAAACATCCACACCTACGGTAAGTGTATGCCAACGAAGTGCTACGTACTATATTTGTGTACAACATTTTAGAAATTCAAAATTATTTAATTTAATTAAATTTATTTAAATATTTTCGCGACCAAGGGCACAAGACTCTCACCTTTGTATTATAAATCATTGGACTTTTATTGTATTTCATTGGTGTTTAATTTTTCTTTTCTTTTTGACGTAGGAATCCGTAACTGATACCAGGCAAGTCACACTAGGTGAACCATATGTGACAGGTGATCTGAGGCGTCGAGATTCCATTGAACTTATGATTTTACGGTCACACTTTCAAACCCTACGCCACCAGGTCATTCCTTACGTGACTGGTATTTAAGTTATTGTAAGGAGGTAAAGTTTTTTTTTCTTTTTTCATACACATTCACACTAGATCATTTCCGTTTTATAACCCCTCGAATGGGGATGCCTAACCATTTTATCTACAAAAAATTATTGGAAAGTTAGTTACCTAACCTTATCCGTTTAACCTTGACATCCCTAATGCATCTTGAAAATTTATTTTGGGCAAAGTATAATGCTTGTTTAATTAATTTTGTCTGTTTGACCACCCATAAGGGGGGGAGGGGGGGGGGGTGGTGGTGGTAGTAATTAAGTGATGTTAGTTTGGTCAACAACGGGGGATTTGTGATGGACGATGATACTATGCTTGTAGTTGGAAATGATGTTAACGTGCAAGAAAGAATTGGATAAGGGAATAAGTGTTTTATGTGATTTTATAACAATTTAAACTTGTCAAAATATTTTTATTTTATTGTAGGTGTGTCTTTCAAAGTTGTATCATTTTTTAAATGACTTTTAGATTGAAAAGACACTGCTTTTGATTAAGTATTTGAAGTTTTTCTCTTGAAATTGCATAGACAGAGTTGGAATTTTTTTTTCACAGAAAATCTGTTTGAATATTTGATGTATATTTTTCTCATTTGCCGAGTATTTTAGGACTGAGTTCCTCGATTTAATCGGAGAAGAAGTTAGAGCTTTATAATTCTTTCGTACAAAATATATTTTTTTAAAGGAGTTAAATTTTGCAATTATATCATACCAATCTTATTTAAATCGATCTTAAATTTCATGGTTTAATACATCTTAAATTGATAAAAAAAATTGAAAAGATTTGTTATAAGAATCACCAGTGTAGCTTAATTTTAAATTTAGAAGTGCAAGGATTCACAAAATCAAATTTTAATATTTATTAAAAAATTACTCTAGTTTGTTAATTTTTCAGAATTAACACTATATAAACATTTTAATTATTTGTGTTTCTTAACAATACATTTAGAGGCAAAAATTAGTATGAATTTATTCATAGTCATATATTTTTTAGAAAACAAATACTATTATAGTTTAAATATATTTTATAGTAAAATTTTTATTGTTAAAGAATATTAATATTGATATTATTACTAAAAAGTATTCATATAATATTTTTATATTTATTTCTGTATAAATATATGTATATATATATAATTATAGGTGAACTTCACTTCTGTCCGACCTTAGTATAAAACTCAAGGCTGGGCTGTACTACGTGTGATTCCATTTTGATCCTGTTGAAGTATAATTATTAGAGATAATGCACATATATTAGCCTCTCTTTCATTATTGTTGTTATTATTATTATCAGGAAAAATATCAATTTTGGTCTCAATATAATCAAAACTAATCAATTTTGGTTCAAATATAAAAAATTCATCAATTTTAGTCAATTTTAATCTATTTTGGTCCATCGTTAAAAAATTAATAAAAATTGCTGACGTTGACATAACGGAGGTGACGTGGTCACTGACCTAGAAACTACACGGCCATATACAATTATATACGGTCATATTGTTACACGACCATGTATATATTCAACGTATAATTATACATGACCTAAATTCAAAAAATATAAAAAAAATATAACAACAAAAAACGAAAACAGAAAGCTACATGGCCCTGTAACAAAATTTATCAATTTTGATTATATTGAGCCCAAAATTGATTTTTTCTTTTATTATTATTATTTATTATTATTGATGTTGTTATGATTGTAGCAAGAGGCTGCAATACTAGTTGTTTCTGGTTCTACATGTCTTTTAACTAGCTAGGTTCAAAGGGCCACCAGCTACCTCAGCTATAAAAGTAGATGCAAATGCAATGCAAGATCAAACTGATAAAAACATTACTGAATTGTATTTGCCTCCCCCTTTTACTTACCTGTTTATTCATAGTGGAGTCTGTCTTTGTACCAGCACAAATCTCATGACTCATGTAGCAGCAGTAGTATGTTGCAGCGGCTTCAGGTTGTTGGGGCATCATCTTAACACCAAATATGCAAACAAAATGAACAAATGAATTAATGATAAATAAATTCAATTCAAATTTAATTTTCAAATGAAGTCATGCCAGGCTTACTTGTAGATCTTCTTCTTCTTCTTGTTCTAAGTTCTAACAGGTCCATGAAGCAGATCTAGTGAGCCTTGGCTTTGCTATCTTTTTGTCCTCCTCAAGTGATATAATGAGGAGATTCGATGGATTCTCAATCATCAGTTTTGCCACTAGATACCCTGTTACGGACCAAGTCTGATACTTCCTTGCCTGTTTTCCGATGTACCGCCCGTGCATCCCGTCGTAGTACTCCGGCCATCCATCTTTCGCCAGCCGCTGCTCCACCAGCTCTATCGCTCTCTTCGCAATCTGCGGCCTCCCTGTTTTGATGCTCGCCGCCGTCAACAGCCATATGAGCACCGGCCAAGAACCACCGTTGTGATAACTCCATCTCGTGTTCTTCGGATCGCATCCAGTTACTATCTTCCATTCATGTCCTTCGAGTGCTGGATACGCAATCTTTAGGGGCATTTCCCCGATTAAGTCCTCCCATCGCTCCTCGATCAAATCCATGATTGCTGTAGCCTGTTCCGGCGTTGCTAAACAGCTTAGAATAGCTATGCAGTTTCCGACCAAGAACCACCTAAAATCCATGCGCGCCGGGCTTACATTTCCGATGAAATAACCTCCTCTTAAGGGCATGAACTCGAACACCCAATCGGGTATGGATTCAGGAATCACATTGAATTTGTTGACAGCAGTGTGAGAATACTCCTCAGTTTTGTAGCGGTAGATGTTGTTGAGTTGAGTGAAGTCGAGCCAGTAGTAATTCTGTATATGGTAACTCAGAGCCGTGATACGCTTGTCGATTCGCTCGATCAATTCCTTACCATCATGTTCAGGTTTCAGCAATTGTCTTGCACACCTCAATGCAAAGAAGAACAATGCCTGGATCTCAATTGGATATCCATAGATCCCCTGCAGATCACAAGTATCTAGAAGCTAATGCAAATTATAAGTGAAAATTGACAGTGGCAGAAGTGAAGAGTTTACCATCCGCCTGTCAATCATGCTGCATCCATCTGCACATAATAATGTAGGGAATGTGTCGAATCCATCCGACAAACAGAGGTTAAGTATCAACTTCATTCCTCTTTGCACCTCGGGCAATTCTGACAACGAATAATCGTGCGTGCATTTTGTGTATGATCGGAGTAATATTATCCACCAGAAACCAGAATCAACTGGCGCAACTCTTCCGATTGCAGAGCCTCCGAAATCGGCTTGTAGAACCTCCTTCTGACGGATAGGGTCTTGGATAACCTTGAAGCTGGCTGGCATCACGCCTTCCCCAAGTGTAAAGTTATCGATTCTCTTCTCCCATCCCTGGAGGTGCAGAGTCTTCAGCAGAAAATTTTTTACTATGTCGACATCTGCGTCGGTCTTCATCAGGCACGCCAATCCACAGGGAACGAAGTCTCTCACAAAAACCTACCAAACCGACAACTGTTAGAATTGCAACAATGCTAAGGTGAAGTTCTGAATACAAACAAGTCAGTGATGAAACAGAGAGCAGCAATGGTAAGAAAGAGAACTATCGAATACAATATCCAAAACTTGAGAAGCAAGAGTCACCATGTACATAACTTGCATAACCAAAATTGTATATTGTGTAATAGGAATCATAACTTGATGATCAGGTGCTTCTCAACCAGAATCTGAAAATTAACCAGGAAATGCTTCTTAAGAAAGACCTCCAGCACTTACATCACTATTGTGGAAAGAACTAGTCAGATCTACGCTAAAATAAATGAAAATGATGTTTAAACACATCGTATAATCGAAATAAGCCATTCTAATAAGAAGAAATGGAATGATTTTGATATGAAATTTAAGTACGGAGTAAAGAAGACCCTAAGTCTTATCGTCGTCCCCGGTCATCCATTTGCTTCACATCAGTTTCCAAAAGCGAAAGATAAACAGATAACAATGGCTAATAGAACTAACGAATCGCAATATGTATTCAATAATAATACTAAAAATAAAATTGCATGATGCATTACTACCTGATTATAATTCAAGGTTTCACCTCCTGTATCAATGGCGGCTATTGTACCTACGCGCTGTCCTTTAAAGTAAACGTAGGACATGCTAAGCTGCTTCCACGCCTCATCCATGATTGACGTATTTGAGCCATTATCTGCTCCACCATTCTTTCCGGAGACACCGTTATTTGTATCCAGAAGATTCTGCAGACAAATCCCCACGCTAGGAGACGGTTTGAGAATGGAAGACATCTTGTTAGTTAGCGCCACATCCGAGTCTCCGATCTCCGCTCCTCCACCACTGCAGGCGAGACTCGGCGACGCCGTCTTACTGTTCGTTTTATCGGTCAAGGAATTGTCGCTCTTGTCGCCACCGGTTGCTGAGATTTCGGAATCCGACATAAAACGCACAACATCGCGGGTGATGTTTTTCCAAGCATCGTCAAAAGTTTCAATAGGTTCCATTAACGGAATCTCCGGCAGAGTACTGCCGCAGCAATCATCAACTGGAAGTTCTTCTAGCGGCGGCGGAGTCATTATGCAGGATCGAGATGAGACGAAAAAAGAGGAGAGAGCAGAGACGACTGTGGCTGGAGTTAGTGGTGAAGAGGCAAATGGTGGAGAGACGTACGGAAGTGAAGAATATTTATTCATGCAGAAAGCACTGCACGGACCTGGCTGGGTACATGATAATGCTCATGAATTGAAGAAGTTATCTATGGCGGTTACGTCCAAAATATAAAAATTATTTATTTATTTATCCAAAATATAAGACCAAAAATTATTTTTGGTCCATTCAATATATCATTATCAATTTTGTCTCGTTCAAAATAGTTTTATCAATTTGGTCTCACTCAAATGAAAACTTATAAATTTTAGTCTAAGATGGTTAATTGGGATTGAACACGGCCGTGTTGGCTCGAACACCGCCGTGTTGAATGACTCAGAAGGTGATTGGGCCTCCCATACAACCAAGACTTCTGAATACGGTCGTGTTCTTATCCGTGTTCTGAACACAACTATATTCATGTTCATGTTCCTACCCATGTTAACTAGGGATAACATACCATACCGTACCGAAAATACCGGTCGATACCGATACCGTACCGAATTTTTCAATATGACGAAAATACATATCGGTACCATACCGAAAGTTTCAATATAATTCGGTATATTGAAACTTTCGGTACGGTACCGGTATATACTATTTAAAGCGAAATTTTCAATTTCGGTACGATATCGGTATTTTTGGTATAAACGGTATACACCGATTATACCGAAAATATAATTTTAAATTTTAAAATAATTAAAAAAATTAATAAATATCGCTATTCTCCGACCGCAAAATTATTATGACAAAATTAATAAATTTTTAATAGTTTACATATTTTTTGTTATGATTTAAAAAAAAATATTAATAATTATTATTTATATTAATAATTAAATTATTTAATAAAACTAATATCGGTACGGTATCATACCAAAATACCGAACTTTCCGAAAATTCATACCGATACCGTACCGAAAACTTCGGTACGATATTCATATCGTACCAAAATTTTCGGTATACCAAAATGTTCGGTATTTTCGACACGATACGGTAAGATAAGTCGATATTTCGATATGTTCGGTAAATTTCTCTATCCCTAATGTTAACACAACCATATTTTAGACCATGTTTTTTTGGGTCATGTTCATATTGTATGTCATGTTAATTATTATTTTCATTTCTTTGTTAAAATTATTTAATATATATTTATAATTCAACAAAAATATTTTTTATAATTATTTCATAATATAAAAAATAATCAATTTTTAATATTTTAAAAAATATATAAAAATAACAATATATTAATATATAATTTTAATAATCATTATTATATATATTTTTAAAAATTTATATTAAATATTTTAAAATATATTTTTGAATAATAAAATTAAATTTATTATATTATAAAAAATATGAAATAATTAAAATTAAATTTAAATTTAAATTTAAATTTATTATATTATATTATTTTGATTATTTTTTATACTATTATCAAATCTAACGTAATACTATTTACTTTTTTTGTATGATGCGGATAAAACTCTTGCAATAATTTCACTCTTTCTCATTGTCTCTCTACATTCCTGTAAATTTTCTGCTTTCGACAAATGAACTCAGAGGTCCATGGCATTATAGATCTTAGGGTAAAGTGTTTTTTTTTTTTATCACGTAAGTGGAATATGTCGTAAACTAGTTCATAAGTGAAATTTTTTTGCCATTTTAGCTCTTTGGCACCGGAGACGCCCGCGTGGCTTGCCGGAGACCACGTGTCCACCAGGTCAGCGACACCTGGCGGACACGTGGATTTTATTTTATTTTTTCATTTTGTAATTTTTTTTAATTTTATTTGCCTTTTTTAATTTTTTTATTTGGTCAAATTAAAAAAAATTAAAAAATTAAAAAAAATAAAATTCACGTGTCCGCCAGGTGTCGTTAACCTGGCTGGACACGTGGCCTCCGACAAGCCACACGGGCGTCTCCTGCGCCGGAGGACTAAAACAACGAAAAATTTCTGCTTATAGAACTAGTTTGCGACATGCTCCACTTACAAGACTAAAATGATAAGAGTGTCCAGTTACGAGATTAAAAAAACAGTTTACCCTAAATTTTAATTTGCAATTTGTCTTTTTTAGCATGAGCATTACGTAGTAGAGATCCTTTGGCTGATTATGATTATCTTGTTGAATTTTCTCGGTCACCCAGAATGCCATGGTATAATAGTTAGCTAATTTACGTCACCGATGATATCTCCTCACGAATGAAGACAATGTATCGCCCTTTGCATGCAAAGCAGTTGCATTATCTTGGATGGCATTGGAAAATTCGTCATCATTCTTTTCTTGATTTGCAATGTTGATTATTTTTTGTTGATTTCTATTGGATGTATCAATTGTTATATTTAAAAACCAATTTTTAATTTAGAATTTCTCATCAGAAAAGATTGATGCATTCTCGGAAAACTCGATACGAATGCTCAGCAATATAGTATAATATATTTAGGAATATAGATGAGTAAAAAAAAATTAAAAGCAAATGACACAAATGAGTTGCAATCTATTTGAACACCAAATACATTATTTCTACAAAAATTAATGACAAAATGCAGAAAAATTAAAGATAAAAGAAAATATAATTTTGTTTTTTTTTTTTATAACGTGAGAATTCGCATCCGCTGCCCAAAAATGCACACTAGAAAAATGATTCATTCAATTTCATCCAACTTACATACAAGTGCCTTAATATTATTTTGGTAATTTTTATTTTTATTTTTTATTTTTTTACTTTTCAATATCTCTATTCTATTGCCAAGACCTTTAATGACATTTTTAGAAGCAAAACAATAAATCTTGTTAAATGATCAACTAGTCTATCATCAACATAGTTGCTTGATTATTTTCTAATTTTCATGTTTCATGTACTCTCTCTGTCACGTAACTAAATATTCATTTGCGTTTTGCATGTAGTTTTAAAAATATTAGTATTATATTTGCATATAGTAGGAATAAAGTAAAAATGACTAAAATAACTTTATTAGTATGTGTGATATAAATGTAATGACATTTGTGTAATATATTGTAAGTTGTAAGGATATTTGTAATGTTAGATAGATAGTACAGTTACTTAAAAAAAATAAATGGATACTTTGTTATGGGACGGATTAAAATGAAAAAAATAGATAATTTTTTTTTTATCGGAAATCAAGGATTTTATAAATATAAAATATAGAGATATATACAAATACGCCGGGCATCCCCGGGGAATAAAAAAACTAACCAAAAATGAGGTACTACCTCAATTGTAGCTACGCGTCCACTAACCGAATAAATAATTACAATCCAACCCAACATAAACTAATAATTACAATGCAAAAATTCTGAAGTAATCCAATGCAGAGGAATTATGGATCTGGTCCTCTTTTTCTTGCCACAGAGGTGCTTACCATTAAGAAATTTCGATAACAACAAATTTTAATTTTCTTAGAGGAAGTACTCGGTTCTAAAGAGAAATTTTCGAAAACCCCTTTTATTCCTAGCGATCCATATATAATAAACAGTAGCCGCAAAGGCAGCCTGTCTTATAAACTGGAGGCTAGGGTCTGGATCTCGATTACCTTGGAGCCAAATAAATGATTTCTGAATGGAGTCGAGATTTTGCGGGATTTTCAGCCAAGCGCATATGTCCAGCCACACTTTCGATTTAAACGAGCACTTGAAGAACATATGGTCCATGTCTTCAACACAATCCTTGCATAGAACACAAAGGGGATCAATGTCGAGGAATGACAATCGATTTTTAGTTTTCAATCGACCCCAGACAGCAAGCCATAGAATGAACTTGTGCTTGGGCAACGCTGGTGCATTCCAGATAGAACCAGCATAGTCACAAGGAGGGTCTGGAATCTTAAAGCAGTAGTATACATCCATGGAGTTTTTAGTAGGGAAGTACCAACGCGAAATACCAGCTTGTGCGCTGCTAACATCCCCTAAATGAGACAAAATCTTATCGCGAATCAGCAACAGAGATTTGAGAAAGTAAGAATCCTGTTGTTCAGCTTGTCGAGTCCAAATACTGCGCCCCTGGAAGTATTTTTTGTGCATCCACTTTACCCATAGAGACTCCTTATCGGAGGAAAATCGCCAAATATATTTAATGAAGAGAGTTTCGTTCCATTCCGGGAGAGAGCGAAGGCCAAGCCCACCTTCGGCTTTAAGTGAGCAGATAACCTTCCATGCCACAGCAGCTCCTCTACCATGCCAGAAGAAAGTCCGACACAATTTGATGATATGTTGGATGACTGTCGGAGGCATTGGGAAAATAGAAAACCAAAAACCACAAGTACCATAAATAACCGATCGAATGAGTTCTAACCGGCCAACAAAGGACAGAGAGCAGCTGCCCCAGGCCCGAATAATATTAGCAATCTTCGTGATTAATCCATCGAAGTGAGTAACCTTGGGTTTACCGGGAGCCACACAAACACCAAGGTACTTAAATGGGATTGAACCTTTAGGAAATCCAGTGGCATTAATCAAATCATCTTTTAAGAAATGGGAGGCCCCAACAACAAAGACATTAGACTTGGCAATATTAAGTTTCAAACCCGAAACTCGACCGAATTGAGTAACGCAATCAAGAAGAATTCCCACCGTATGTTCACCACCTCTAGAGAAGAGGATAATGTCATCCGCAAACGCAAGATGAGTTATTTTGAGCTCCGAACAACCTAGATGATAATTAATTTCCCTAGCATGACTTTGTTATGGGACGAAGAGAGTATTATTGATTGAATTTGAGTTGAATCATCGTTTTTATTGAACTTGAAATCTTTAAATAAGCCATATTGTGAGATTAATTTGTATATTAGACGGAATGCTAACAAGATCACGTTGAATAGGCTCAAATTGATTTTACCTGATGAATTATAATTTTTTGAAATCGACCTGCTTTTGTTGATAAATTTTTGTATTAGTACAAAATGGGCACATGTATACTTTCAATTAAGACTCAAATTTGATAGTTTTTTTTTCTTTAGATTTTTTTTTTTTTTTTTTTTTTTTTTTTTTTTTTTTTTTTTTAATTTCAAACTATTCACCCTCTATAATTTTTAATAAAAGGGTAAACTGTTTTTTTAGTCCCGTAACTGGACCTTCTTATTATTTTAATCTCGTAAGTGGAGCATGTCACAAACTAGTCCCATAAGTGAAAAATTTTCGCTGTTTTAGTCCTCTGGCATCGGAGATGCCCGCGTGGCTCGCCGGAGGTGACATGTCCGCCAGGTGTCGCTGACCTGGCGGACACGTGAATTTTTTAATTTTTTTTTATTTTTTTGATTTTTTTTAAAACTTATTTTTAATTTTTTTTAATTTTATTTTTATTTTTTTATTTGGTTCAATTAAAAAAAAAATAAAATAAAATAAAATAAATAAATCCACATGTCCGCCAGGTGTCGCTGACCTGGCGGACACGTCATCTCCGGTGAGCCACGCGGGCGTCTCCGGCGTCGGAGAACTAAAACAACGAAAATTTTTCACTTATGGAACTAGTTTGCGACATGTTTCACTTACGGAACTAAAATGATAAGGGGTCGGGACTAAAAAAACAGTTTACCCTTAATAAAAATATATTATTTTTTCACAAAATATAATTTTAAAATAATGAGTATATAATATATTAATTTTTTTTTAACAATATATATATTTTTAAAGAAACAAACTCTTATTTATTATTCACCTTTCATCCAATCCAAAATTATACATTTTAACATTTTTATTCGTCTAAACACAAACATATATTTTATTATTTTTAGTAGGTATGCCTTTATTATACATTATAAATCCTTTTAAATTTAAATCTATTTACATCAATAATTCAAATACTATTACATAAACTTATACAAGAGGAAGAAAGCTTTTATACCAGAAAAACAAAAAAAAAAAAACCTATTAATTAATAATTATTTAAAATACAATATTTTAAAAAAATTATATATTATCTTTCAAGATGAAAGAAATATTTTATTAATTTTTCTTTCATATGAAATTATATAATTGTACGGGCAGTCTAATAATCCGAAACCAGACTAGTTTACAAATATTGTTACTGTAGCCCGATCGAGACCATCCATCCGGGACTATTTCAATTCTGTCCAGCCCGGGGCTGAACCGGACCGGACCGGACTGGCCGCCAAGGCTACCTGAAAACTCACGCGCGCTTTTACTATTTTCCCGTTGAAACTTGAACGTTACGTTTAATTTTGTCACTTAGTATTTTTGTGTTGCTGTTGCTGTTGACAGTGGCCATTTTGGCTCCTCCATCTCCATCTCCATCTTCGATTCAAAGTCTTTCTTCCCGAGTCTAGACTTGCACCTAGCTGTGCTATAATTGCGTGCCATTGAAAGCTGGATCAGAAAGGGACCCCAAAGTATTGATGATTCCTCCTAAATATCTCATCCCGAATTAAATACGGTTTCAACTAACCATCTGCAACTTGGGGCATTGTTAGTGTACCCCTAATCAATGCATATTTTCTGTGAGTTTCTCGATTTATTTATTCATTTATGTCTTGAAACGGTAATTTGATTGATTGATTGATTGACCGATTGACTGGCTAATCTTCTGCTGTAACTATCTTAGGGCGGCGAATCTTCGATTTCATAATTTTGCGCCTGCAATACTGTTTTGCATTTGATTCTAAGCTTTTGTTGAGTTTTCAAATGAATGCTTTGTACAGATTTGAGTGATAAGGACCGCTGTGCTTATTATATTTAGCTTTTAATAATTCGTGTAATTCCAGTTGGTCATGTAGCTGGGCTTAGGACAACGAGTCATAATTGAATGTTAGAGAAGACTGTATCCAAGTGCAGTCAATTCACGTTAGTACTAAGGAATTTGCAAGTAAAAATTGGTCTCACGTTGCTATCAGAAACTGTTAAAAAACATTGTGGATGAATTTGCAGTGGAGAGAGACGACAGCCTGCTTTTAACTATCTAAGTAGTTGGATATAAGCAAATGGTGTGCTTTAGGTAGACTTTTTGAGGTTTCTCCTCTGGTAGTTTCATGAAGTACTTTCTCTTCTTTTGGGCTTAGATTTATGTAGTGTTTGATTAAAGGTTCCAGACAAGGTTGAGCTATGATGACTTGGAGGGTTTACCTCTTTCTGCTGGTTTCTTTAATCCAACTTTTTGGCATTACAGGATTCACAAACAACGATGATTGTAAGTCAGAGGTTCTTACTAGTTTTCAGTCTGGTTTGGTCTGAATTTTTTTTTTTATTTTTTTTTATAAGGGGAATTCATAGTTAAATCAGCTTTCCAAAAGAGGTATGCATTTATTCTTGTGTTTCAATCATACAAAAAAGGACCTGGAACTACTGCTGGTTCTACAAATTTGGTGTGTAGTCTCGGTCTTCTTAAATTTTTTTAGAGGGATCATCGTGCCTGTGTACAGAGGCTGCAGGGCAAGTAAAACATACTAAATGTGAGAAGTGGTTTCTGTTGTCTTTTTGATGGGGAGCTGCAAGAACAGATCTAAGCTTATGGGACTTAGCAGCTTAATTAGCAGTTCTAAGTGTCAAGTTTGCTTTGCTTGTTTGTCCTTGCACTTCATTATTGATATTTTCCTTTTTGATCTTCCAATCCTTTATTTATGTTTCTCGGCATACTAGTTCATGTAGTTCCTCTTCTTCCACAAAAATAAAATCTGGTATTCTCTTTATTAGAATTTCCAGATGCATTTTTTTGCTTAAACTTCCTCCCAGCTTTTAAAAACCGGATTTTCTATCTGAAGTATGTGCAGTCATCCTCTTGAGAAAGGTCTGGACAGTATCTTCATGTATAGGCTTGCAAACTTGATACATTTATGCTCGGAATCAAATGCAGTTGTTGCTTTAAAGTCTCTAAAAGATGAGTGGCGTAATGCACCTCCAAGTTGGAAAAGTGACGATCCTTGTGGAAAATGGGATGGAATCAGCTGCAACAACAGTCGTGTTATTTCCATGTAAATTTGTACAAACAAAAACAGCTAGTTATGCATTACTGCTCTTGTGCATCTACTCACTTAATATATGTGTTATCAGCACATTGGCAAGCAACAACTTGCAAGGTCACCTATCATCGGATGTCTCAGGATTAACTGAATTGCAGGTTCTGTAAGTTTCTATTCATTCCCCACTCCGTGGCCTATGATGTGTTGTGAATGCTTGACCTTCTGAGCATCATTTCTTAATCTGTGTTTATTTTTTATAAGAATCACATATCTATTTATTTGCTCTATAATGTGTAGGACTCATTAAAGCTTCTCCTTGTAGGGACCTGTCCTATAACAAAGAGCTGACTGGATCACTTCCTCCGTCACTTGGAAACTTGAAGAACCTGAAGAGCTTGTGAGGAAATATTATAAGTTTATAGCATAATCAGTGACCGATTCTAGTTAGCTATTAAGTATTTCATATTAATACTTCTACAAGTTTAATTGAATTGCCATTGTGTGCATTACAGAATTCTTGTTGGCTGTGGATTTACTGGAAAAATTCCGGCATCTCTTGGATCTTTAGAACAATTGGCTATTTTGTAAGTATTTCATGTTATACTGTTGAAATTATTGTAAGTATATAAGTGAGGTGGTCAATTAATATGGTTTTTAAAGCGGAGAACTCTGTGTTTAAAGATCCTTTCGACTGCCATTCATATATGAAAATGTTTCAGGTGCAAGAGTTGACAAAAAAGAATAGCATATCCATGCGAAGAAGTGTGTTAGATGAATTAAAAAGTAGATAAATATAAAATGATATGTTTCGATTAATTAAAGCCTTTAGGATAATCAATCACCAAAATTATATTTGAAGGAGCATTGCTGAAGCTGTTGGTTGTTTTAAACATACAGTTAGGCTTCGAAGATTTACCTAGTTCATTTATGTGAGTCAGGTGCTTCAGAGTGATATAGATAGGTAAAATGTTCAAATTGTGCAAATCGAACTGCAGATCTAGCAGGGAAGATTGAGATGGATTATATTAGAATGTTTATTACTTTCTATTGCATTGCCACAGAGTCTGATTATAATACATACACTATTCAATCCAACACATTGTTTGGGAAAATTTTATTTTGGTGGATCACATATCTGATTCATTGTTCCATGCATATCAAGGTCTCTGAATTTAAACAAATTCATTGGTGAGATACCACCAGAACTTGGCAATTTATCAAATCTTAAATGGCTGGATTTGGCTGATAACCAGCTCAGTGGAAGTATCCCTGTCTCGCCTGGTCTTGATTCTCTTCTCCACACAAAGCACTTGTATGTATTCACTCTTACATTCATATCAAGTTGTGGTAAATTCTGCATGGGTAACACTGATATTTATTCACTTCATTCCTTTTGGCATTATGCAGCCACTTAGGGAAGAATCAACTGTCTGGTGAAATACCACCCCAGCTGTTGAGCTCAGATATGTCTCTTATCCATCTGTAAGCACCTCTCTCAATATGTGTCTGTAATCCAGAAAAAGTGGAGGAAAATATTATTTCCATTTTTTTGGCAAATACTCTTCGCTAATAATGGAACAAAAAAGTGAAGCAGAAGTGCTTTTTCTTGCTATTCCAAACATTGCCTTAATGAAATGTTGATCCTAACTATCCGCCATGATGTGTCCATATTAGCTCTATGGTAATGGTTTTTATTCAAACAGGCTTCTGGACAACAATCAGCTCACTGGAAGCATCCCTTCCACACTGGGGCTTGTGCAATCTCTGGAGGTTGTGTAAGTAACAGCACACCAGAAGTCTCATTTTAACATATTCCCAATGGAATCTTTAGCTAAGTGTGCTTTGTTTATGTGATAGACGGCTTGATCGGAACTCTTTAAGTGAGCACGTTCCCAAAAGTTTGAACAACCTCACCTCTGTCCAGGAACTGTAAGTATACTGAGATTAATTCATTTGATGAATGCAACATCTGGTGGTGAAGTTTATACATGAATACTGATTGAAATTTTCAGGCACTTAGAAAATAATCGCTTGACGGGACCTTTACCCAATCTAACTGGCATGGATGCTCTCTATTATGTGTAAGTCTGTAATTGTTGAACCCTACTGTAGGTAGGAAGTAGTAGATCTTGATCTCTCCCTGGACAACTGAGCATTCTTCAAACCTATAACAGAACATCCACGTTTTCCTGATACCGTTGGACTGACTATTTTGCAGGGACATGAGCAACAATTCGTTTGATTTAACAGAAGTTCCCCCATGGTTTTCAACTTTGCAGTCTTTGACTTCATTGTAAGTTTTGTTGCAGTTTCTTTTTTCTTTATATCTGCATCTGTGAACCAATCAAAATGTTGATACTTAGATACTGAAATGACAGGATAATTGAAAAGGCAAATATTCAAGGGGAGCTTCCACCTGCTTTATTCACCCTTTCTCAATTGCAAACAGTGTAAATAAATTCTGATCATGCATAGCATAGTCAATATAAAGCATGTTAGGAACATGAGCACACAAGCTCATAAACACCTTTAGTTTTTGGTCTCTATTTTTCAATAATAAATTGAATTTTTATTTCCTCCCTTCGTCAGCGATCTAAAGAACAATCAAATCAATGGAACATTGGACATTGGTTCCAGCTATGGCAGCAGCCTTCATCTCATTGATCTACAAAACAATCGTATAGATGCATTTCTTCAAAGAGGAGGTGGTTATACAGCGCAGATAGTGTAAGTTGTTCTTCAATTTGAAGCATTTCCTGCACTATTTTATTTCCAAACTCATTCCATATATTGTGATTTATATTGTTTTCTCTTTTTTACTTGAGAAAAATGTCCCAACAACATCGTTGTACTAACAATCTATGCTGAGATTCCTCTCAAGTTACGACTCTTGTAGGATCCATGATCGAAACATCACAGCTTGCTGCTATGGCACATAATCAAATTATCATTTGTTTTTTTCACTAAAATTGGTCAATGTATAATTTTTGGCATATATACATGTTCTTTATTTTATTCTTCTTTTCTTATTTAAACTGGATATTAACGTTTCATATGTGTGAGAAATTTCATTTGTGCATACGAGCACATTAACTTTTTTTTCTGGAGAGAACTCGAATTGTTGAAAATATATTTTATGTGGCTACATCCTTATTAGATTAAGCTTTTCAAGACTACCTTGCTTTTATGTCTGGAGAGAAAAAAAAAATGTATATTATGTAATGATATGCATAGAGTACAAAGTATAGTTTGAGAGATTGTGCAAACTATAGAAGCAGTTGGAGCTCTAGTAATCGAAACTATTGCTAGAAAGAAATTTCCTCACCACCCCAGGCACCATATTTAGCAAGGAAGTTGACAGGTTCATTAGCACTTCTAGGAGTATGATGGAAAATACTAACAGGCATTTGGTAATGGATTAACAAAACCTATTAAGATCATAATTACAGTTCCACAAAGCTGATGCACACACCTTAAATCTCACCGAAGGCATATTTTGAGTGGCACTTAACGAGGATCTTAGGGAGTGGCCCTAATTGTTCACTAAGTAGGCAATCTAATACTTGAACTACTGCTAGAGCCTACCTTCAAAGAGTAGCAGTAGTTACATTGATTTTACGACTCTTTGGAAAGTTTTAATCAAAGAATACCATACCAAGCTCTTCCCTCTTCTTCCCTAATTCCTTCCTAGCATTACTAGACCATATTAATCTAATGATTAGCTGCCTAATATTTCTTAGTATTAAAACTTTTAATCTAACTCAAGCCATCATACAAGTTCATGAAAGTTAATGGTATGCAAATATCTAAAAACTCTAGTAACAAAATCAGTGATACATAATTGCATTTCTTGTCTTATAAAATTTGGCTAACAATAATGATTAGCTGCCTAATATTTCTTAGTATTAAAACTTTTAGTGGTTTGCATACATGGTGATAGACCATCAGAGAACAAATGTAACATCCAATGTTATAATGTTGTCAATTGTTCGCAGAATTGATATGCAAATAAATATAAAGTGATGTATTCTTTATTAGTTTTAGCTTTAAAGTGAGATGATCATTCATGGAATCAGACAACACTTGAGTTAGGCGACTCGCAAAAAGTGTCACTGCTCATCCCCCAAGGAGTGGTGACATTATTATGATCACAATTGTTACTGTATGCCTAAAACAGAGGATGCCATAAAGTATACATATTATTGATGACACCTTTTACTTATGTGGGGGAGGTTTGGGAGGAATGAAATAAAGCACATATGCTCTAGAGGATTGAGATTTCTGTATGATCATTAGTTTGTGGTAGAGAGTCATTAGTTTGTGGTAGAGAGCCTATGAGGTGTGCATTTGATAGGAGACTTTCACCACTTGTCCATGTTAAGATATATCACAATGTATGCCACCTAAAGAGGGAATAAGGTTGGAACCTTGTTGCTTTTTATAATTTCTGACACTAGGGGGCCTACATGTAAGGTGACTCACTAGCCACATTCTCTCGACATTAGAAGTGGCACAATATTGTATTAGAATCACTAATCATAGTAGGACTAATGTGAGGGTGCTCGTGGAATGTCTCCATGCAGCTCAACATTGAGTATGATTGGCACACTCATGGGCTGTAGTTTTATCTGAGAGTTGGGTAATCTCATCAACACAAAGGAGACCACAGGACACACACACCATGACATATGTAGATTTGAGAGTGACTGGAAGGTGTAATGTAACAACAAGAAGCCATCCTATGACACGCCCTTTCATGTTGTAACTGATGCTCCTTGGGGAAACACTTACTGTAGCACTGGGGGATCTTACTTGATAGGATATTTCTGGGCTAATAACAGGTCAATCTGTTGGAAAATTCGAGGTGAAAAAAGAAAAAAGATAATTTTGAGAGTTCTATATGTTGATGTATATAGTATATTATGAATCTGCTTGAATCTTGTGTAATGTTGACTTAGTTATGTGTCACTTAATAGAAATCATTGTAAATTAAACTATTTCACCATGGGAATCAATGGCATAAAGCAACTACAGTTTTTTTGTAGTACTCAACATATAAGAAAATTTTAAAAACCTTGATTAGAGTATTCATGCTAATAAGGTGCATATTTTTTCTTTTTCGGAAGTCAACAAGAAACAAGTTTAAAGTTGAGCATAATTTTTTTGAGTAGGAAGTTTTCCAAGTTGAATGTGAGTGAGACTGAAAAGGATTTGGGGTTGATATGTGGCCATCCTATGATCATATAACATCCTAAAAATCACAGCATGGGTATCGGGGTATCAATTTTGTGAGAGTAGTCTATGTTCATCTAGTACCTGTGTTAAGGTTGGTTGTTAAGTGTTTTACTTCAATTTTTAATCTATGAAGTGATGTAGTTATGTTGAACTTCCTCTTCATGTGCCTTTGTTTTATTAACAGACTTGTCGACAATCCGGTATGTGATGGAGAAGGAACACCGAGTTACTGCTCCCCCCATCAGTTGTCTGATTCCTCTTACTCAACACCTATGAGGAATTGCATACCTCCTTCCTGTCGTTCAAGTAAAATATCTAGTCCAACCTGCCAATGTGCATATCCTTACTCAGGAAACATCTTCTTTCGTTCTCCTTCCTTCTCAAGCTATGGAAACAAAAGCCTATTTGAATCTCTAGAGAAGGAAATGATGAAGACATTCAGCTCTCATGGCCAACCTGTGGATTCAGTTTATCTAAGTAATCCCACAAAGAACAGCGACGGCAATCTGGAACTGAACGTTCGAGTGTTTCCATCTGGCCAAGATTATTTCAATCGATCAGGGATTTCTGGCATTGGATTTATTCTAAGCAATCAAACTTTTAAGCCCCCTCATGGATTTGGTCCCTTTTACTTTGTGGCCAACATTTATCCTTACTTTGAAGGTAACTTAACTTAGCTTGCATGAACAACTTTATAAAAAAGCACGATAATCGACCACTTCTGACCCCGAAATTCATGGACTTGTATGTCGCCGAATGTAGGATCAAGAAAGTCTTCAAATGTGGGCTTAATTATTGGAACATCAGTCGGTGGCTTTGTTCTTGTGGTGTTAGTAGTTCTTGCAGGAGTTTACGGATTCCGTCAGAAGAAAAGAGCTGAAACAGCTACAAAGAAGAGCAATCCTTTCGGTATTGTAGATTGTTCAGTTCCAACAGATTTATTTGAATTTGAGATTATTATTATTATTTCTAACATACAGGACTCTCTTCTTATTTGCAGCAACCTGGGATTCAAATAGCAATAGTGGCGGTGTTCCACAGTTAAAAGGGGCCAGATCTTTCTCGTTTCATGAACTTAAAAAATGCACAAAAAACTTCTCTGACGACAATGATATTGGATCTGGTGGCTATGGCAAGGTTCATTGCTGCATCACTTCTTGTTTTCTGAGCTGACCCTTTTGTTTACTTTTGTTTTTTACTTATTGTGGGAAGATTCACAAAAAAGTTTCGATATTGGTTACATGGTATATAGAACAGAAACACAAATAGAAATTCTTAGTTCTCTTTAGTTCCCAGACAATTAATCCATCAATTGAACATTTTATTTGTGTTTGGGCAATTAATATTGCCTCAGGTATACAGAGCAGCTCTTCCTAATGGACAACTGGTGGCCATTAAAAGAGCTCAGCAAGGATCAATGCAGGGAGCACTGGAGTTCAAAACTGAGATTGAGCTTCTCTCAAGGGTCCATCACAAAAATGTCGTCAGCCTTGTCGGTTTTTGTTTCGATCAGGGTGAACAGATGCTGATCTACGAGTATATCCCAAATGGCACATTGAAGGAAAGCCTTATAGGTACTCATAAATCATAATCTTTGAACAAAACAATTTCAGCTCAACAAAAAAATAAGAATACAGCAATTAGTCCTATAATCATTGCTCATTAGTAAAACTACATACATTGGTTTTGCAGGGAGGTCTGGAATAAGGCTGGATTGGATTCGAAGGCTTCGCATAGCTCTCGGTGTAGCCCGGGGGGTGCAATATCTGCATGACCTGGCAAACCCCCCTATCATACACAGGGATATAAAGTCGAACAACATCTTGTTGGACGAGCGCTTGAATGCCAAAGTCGCCGATTTTGGCCTCTCCAAGTCAATGCTCGACTCTGAAAAAGATCACGTAACCACTCAAGTTAAAGGCACCATGGTCAGTACTAGACTTTGGAACTCTTCCAATCGAATATACATCGAATCATTTACTTGTGAAACAACTATTAATAACAATTCATTTCTAAAAAACAAAAAATAAAAACAGGGGTACTTGGATCCTGAGTATTACATGACGCAGCAGCTGACAGAAAAGAGCGACGTGTACAGCTTCGGAGTATTGCTATTGGAGCTCTTGACGGCGAGAAGTCCGATAGAAAAAGGGAAATACATCGTGCGGGAAGTGAAGGAAGCAATGGACAAGGGCAAGGATATGTACAACCTCGAGATGATTCTTGACCCGATAGTTGTGAGCAATCCGGCGCCAGGAACTGTCGAGAGGTTTGTTGATCTAGCGCTGAAGTGCGTGGAGGACTCGGGCATTAACAGGCCAACGATGAGTGAAGTGGCGAAGGAGATAGAGAGCATCATGGAGTTCGCGGGGCTGAATCCTAATGCTGAATCTTCGTCGACCTCTAACAGCTATGAGGAGGCACCCAAACCTGTCCGGCACCCGTATAGTAATGAAAGCTTGTTTAGCCACAGCGGATCGTATCCGGAATCCGTCGTCGAGCCGAAGTAGAATCTGCTGCATGCATGCATGGGGTGTGTTTACTTGCTAAAGCCTTCTTCTTCTTCTTCTTGTTATACAGAATGTTGTGTGTGTATTCTCAGAAGTTTAGGATTTCATGACTTGTTTTCTTACTCTCTCCATTTGTGTTGATTGTTGAAAAATTTATTTTTATTATAAGTGAAGAAGGATTCTTCTCTAAGGGCATCTCCAATCCAATTTTTTTTTTAATTTTAATTTTAATTTTTTTTTTATTTTTAAATTTATTTTTTATTTTTCTAAATTAAAAAAAAATTATTTTAAATTATAAAAATAAAAACTTGTTTAAAATAATAGAAAAAATTGAATATTTAAAAAATAACAGTGAAAATTAGAGTTATGGTTGAGTAAAATTACTGCAGCATATTAAAGTTAAAACTGTTGATGAGTCGGAGATGACCTAAACATGGAGAATTGGTATTGTTGTTTTCTTATTTAGTTTGTAGGCCATTATTGTTTGAGTAGAGGTTTATTTCGATCGTAGCTGGAAAAAAATAATTCTTGTCTAAAGGGGAAGAATCAATGTCAAGGAGAACTGTCTTATTTTCTTTAAACTTAAGTGATAATTACGGGTGTGTTTGTTTGGTGGTTTAGATTTTGAGTTGGGATTTGAATAGTAAAAATTTTGAATTTGAATAGTTGTATGATACGATATAAATAGGATTTGATGTGATGTTTTGAATGTAAAATTGATTTTTAGTATAATATAAAAAATAAAAAATAAGTGTTTGATTCGATGTTTTTGGAGGAAAAAATGAAATGAATAGTAGAAATCCACCAAAATCTTTCAAACAAACACACCCGTAGTGGATTTACATCATCTTATTGTTGACAAAAAAGAATAAAAAATTAATAATAATAATAATAATAATAAGAAAAATAATAAAATAATGACGACTATATATCTATTGTTGTCAATTAAAAAAAAAAAAATCAATAACAAAAAATATATATTAAGTATGTTCACCTTATAATCTTTTATGATAGTATGATTTTTTGATAAAATATTTCAAATATATATAATATAGAATTTGTTGGTTTAGTATATATTTTTTTTTAATTTTTTAATATAAAAAATAGAAAATATAAAAAATTTATATTGAAGGTTAACTTTTATGGAAAGACTAAATATATATTAAAAATTTTATCGAAAAAAAATTATTAGCCAAACAAACTCATATAATAATAATAATAATATAATAATAATAATAATAATAGTAATAATAAAAAGAAGAAGAAAAAGAAATGACTATCATATATCTATTGTTGTCATTAAAAATAATCAATAAGAGAAAATATATATTAGAGTGTGCTCACCCAATAATTTTTTTAGTGATATAATTTTTTTTGATAAAATATTTAAAAATATAGAATACATATTCATATAATATAAATAGTATATATTATATTCACTCAAAAAACAAAATAATGTTCCATTTCTAACATTAAAAAAAATACAAAATGAAAAAACTTCAATTTCAATAAAAAAATAATAATTACAATTTGATTATTATTATTATATTTTAAAATAAAAGGAATGAAATTATGATTGATAAGTTGTCTATTATAAATAAATTATATATAAATTTAGCCTGAAAAAAAGGCATAATATCCTGAAGAATAGAGTATAAACTAAGAAATTTGATTCCCTTTGTAACTTTGTCTTAATAAAGCCTCCTTGCATAAAGTATCATATTATGACTTTGATCATTAAATTTTTATTAATTTTCAATAATATCTCCGGATTATATTTTCTTTGATTTCTTTTACTATTTTCTCTGTTAGAAATATGATCCAAAACATTATCGATGACAAAATTAAAGACAAAAAATTTAAAGGACATGTGGTTAGGTGACTTCGTCCACGGAAAAAGACGAAAGAATATACTCAGAAAACAAAATATCCGCTAATAATAAAATAAAGTATCATGATGTAATCATAATCAGAAGTACAAAGTAATCATTTTATATACTTCTCAAAAATATTTTAGGAGACATTAATTTATAGTTTATAATTTATCATTTCTATCTCATTTAAGTTTTTTTTTAAAAAAAATTATATATTCAACAATTTCTATTTTTATAAATTGATTTATAGTGATCATATATAAATTTCTTTTATTCATCTGCATTATATAAATTTGTTCTCTACAAAATAAATTTTATATATTAATAATAAATTTTGCATCAAAATAATTATATGATCCATTCTAAAAATAAACTAATTAGTAAGAAAAAATAAAATAAAATAAAATAAAATAGAAAGTGCATTAAAGAAGGGAAAGAGGTGGAAATAAAAGCCACCGCAAAGCGAAGGACTAAAGAAAAGAGGTGGCCATTGGCCAATGCTTATTTTGTCAAGTCCCTATCTTTTATTCAACTTACATATCTGGTTTCTTATTTTATGTCTTCTACATTATTATTCTTAAAAAATAATAATAATAATAATAAAATAAAATAAAATAAAATAATTTTATTTATAGGACTAGGTTACAATTTCACCTCACAATATCTCACGTTGTCTCTATGTTCATTCACTTTGTATTTGAAAAATTCAATCCAAAATTACTTATATTTTCAAATTACTTTCAATAATATTCATTAATAATATATATTTTTCAAATAAAAATATATATTTAGTCATTTGAAACATTGTATCAAAAACATATTTCTATACAAAATACAATAGCTAGCACGTTTACACATGATATACATATTTAACAATTAGTATTATACTCCTCCGTCGTTAAAATCTATGCTCACTTTTCTTTTTGGGTTGTCGTCGAAAAATATTTTTATTTCTTTTTTAATAAAAAAATTATTTTATTTTTGTACTATTTTTTACTATAAAAGAAAAATTAACAATTATTATTCATTTTTATTAAAATTTATGTCCAGTCAAATGAGGACACATTTACACGAATGATGGAGTATTTAAATAGTACTTGAGGGTTCTGTATGTAATATCTTATTTACTCTTATATTTAAAGTAATTGTATTAATGAGAATAAATGTAAATTTAACCGTATTTATAATGTATTTTATGATCAAACATATTAAAAATACATATATATTTTTATATGGATAGAAAATAACAATACGTATGGTTATGTTTCTTTAAGCCAGTTTCCGTGAATTTTACTATTTGAATTATACGATTTTTTAAAAGAAGTATATTTTTTTATCTCACAAAACATTTCATCAAACATTATTTTCTTACCAAATTCAAATAATTTTTTTTTTCAAACTCATCAAAAGAAACACACGGTGTTTATTCAATTCTTTTACTTGTCTTGAAATTATCTACGACAACTCCTAAAATATATCTTTGAAATACATCCCAATAAATCATTCCACCACACAAACCTCTCGATTCAATTTATTACAACTGTACTATAATATATATATATATATATAGAGAGAGAGAGAGAGAGAGAGAGAGAGAGAGAGAGAGAGAAACCCACCGTGCAATGAATGATGAGAATTAATTAGGTATGTGTGAGTTGCTCACCAATAGTTTCAGTCAAAGGTTCATTCGACCTCTCGTCAAATTTGAATCATTTAATATATATGACCTAAATTTGAATCAACGACTACTACTTTATTTCATTTAATCAACCAATTATATATATATATATATCATTCAAAAAAAATTTTGAAGTAACATTCGATTAAACATATTTCAAACTTTAATTAGCTCCAAATTTTTATATATTAATTGAAACTTGATCGAGCCATCTAAAAAGTTAGTTCGAATTCGACTCGTTTGCAGCTCTAATAACAACTGATCATCGAAATGTCGAGATCAGCAATTTGCTTGTCCTCGACCCTATTCATGATATATCATCTCTTTCATTCGGAAACCCTATCCCTAATTAATGCCCTCTTTTTCATTTCTCGTAGTCCATTGAACCATGATATGATCGAAGAATAGTTACTATTACATTACGAAGAACGTGTGCGCACGCACGTGCACACACGTATATACATTCGTAACTATGTACGTATAGCAAAGGAAGCTTAATAAGGACAAGCCATCCAAGAATCGACGCGATTCATCGACTCAATCATTGAGGGTAGCTAGGGTTTGTTTTTTTGTTTGTTTTTCGACCATAGGTTTTTATTACATGAACAGTGCAGATCAAGAAGACAGCAGCAGCAAACCGCTGCAAGAACGCGACGATGAAGAAGAAGATGAAGACGACGATGACGGCATGGTGATGCCGGGATTCCGATTCCATCCGACAGAGGAAGAGCTGGTGGAGTTCTACCTTCGCCGTAAGGTGGAGGGCAAACCCTTCAATGTCGAGCTCATCACTTTTCTTGACCTCTATAGCTACGACCCTTGGGAGCTTCCTGGTACATATATACACACACATATACATACACCTATACATACACAAATTCATTCCCAAACCCTTTTGGATTACCTTAATTCCCCCAAAGGGTTTTTGTAGATTCATCTAATTCATCGAGAAAACCCTAAAAGTTCATTCCCAAACCCTTTTGGATTACCTTAATTCCCCCAAAGGGTTTTTGTAGATTCATCTAATTCATCGAGAAAACCCTAAAAGTTCATTCCCAAACCCTTTTGGATTTCCTTGATCAGTTCCCTCAAAGGGTTTTTGTAGATTCATCTAATTCATCAAGAAAACCCTAAAAATTTATTCCCAAACCCTTTTGGATTTCCTTCAATTACCTCAAAGGGTTTTTATAGATTCATGTAATACATCAAGAAAACCCTAAAAATCTATATGCATAATATGTATAGATAGAGATAGATATCGATAGAGAGAGAGAGGGTGAGGGGGGGGGGGAGGGGGGCTATAATTAAAGACAATCATGTATATATCTTTCTGTTTCTTTATATTTTGAAAAAAATAAATGAACGTAAATTTAGTGGACACAGAGAATATGAAATTTGGAATTTCGATATGATCTTTGCGTGTATTGTATGAATGAATTTGCAGGTTTGGCAGCTATAGGGGAGAAGGAATGGTATTTCTATGTGCCGAGAGATAGAAAATATAAGAACGGAGATCGGCCAAACCGTGTGACAAAGTCGGGGTATTGGAAGGCGACCGGTGCCGATAGAACTATCCGAGGAGAGACTAATCTGATGCCCATTGGCCTCAAGAAAACCCTTGTTTTCTACTCGGGTAAGGCCCCGAGAGGAATCCGAACCACTTGGATCATGAACGAGTATCGCTTGCCTCTCCACGAGACGCAGCGCCTCCTCCACAAGGTAATTGAAGATCGATCTTTTCATGGATCTTTGAACTTATAACTAAATTTTGTATTGACACACACAAAAAAAAATAATCATGCATCATTTTTTGGTCAATCACCATAGATTAGATCTAAAGTTCATCACATTTTTGTGGTTTTTTTGCTTCAAATTTTTTGGTTTAACTAGAGTACATGATCAATAATGAGTAATTAACTTATGTACTTAAAATTCGAATTAAATTAATTAACTCATTTTAGTGTAATTAAGGCACCTTATCTACATTTTAACATAGCTCAAAATCGACTTGTTAATCACAAGTTGTGCTTGAGTATGAAAAAAAATGCTCTAAAATTATCGATTTAACTCAATAAGGGTAGTAGAAAATTATTGCTACTTTAAAACATCCGTAAAAAATAATTTAGAACTCAGAATAAAGAAGTTATGGCATAATATTGTCACTAAATTACTATCAGTGACTTCTAATTATCGTAGAATTTAAATCTGCGACAATTTTATGTAACTATTGACTGTTTTTTTAGTAGTAGACTTAATTCAGCTTGAATTATTCATGTTTTTTTCCTTAGAATTCCAATCTTTTCATTCCATTTTAGGCTTCCGAAATCGCGATTTGCCGAGTCTACAAGCGCCCTGGTGTCGCCACGTCGTCTCCATCGCCAAGACCTCTGCAACAACCGCCACAATCCAAAACTACATGTATGATGAACCTGCAGCAAAGATCATACATCCAAACCAGCACCACTGCCTATGGAGGATCTTCGTGGGCCGGAAAATCGAGCAGATCGAACCCCCAAATCATGTCAATCGACACTCTAACTTCAGTAGATCAAGTTCTCGAAGAAGATGATCATTCGATGATGCTTCTGCAATCGAAACAGGCCATGATCGCCAATAATCCCATGTTTGGAAGCTCTTCATCATCAAATGTTGCAGCAGATGATCTCCACAAGCTCGTGAATTATAACATCAGTGACTTCCCACACAACGATAATCTCCATCGCTACGCCGGCAATGCTCCGGCCGGTTTTCTGCAGCCTCCGGCGGCGCCGCCGCCTGAAATTGTTCCTCCTCGATCGACGGCATTGTTCGGTGATCGATTTTGGGATTGGAATGCCATCTCGGATGCCAGCTGCAAGGACTTCTTGAATCCCTTTCAAGTGAAGTTTGATGATCATTGATTGAATGTTCTATCTGTGTGTGTGTATGTATGTATATATATATATATATATACTTGAATAAATGTGTCTAATTAGTACTGATTATGCTTATCATCGATCACTCACTCACTATATATTTATATATATCATCTGATTTAGGTTTCTTAACTTTGTTCTTCTGGACATGGAGTTAATGAAGCTTTATTTTTATTTAATTTTTCTTTTTTCCTTTTAGGGTTTGTTTGTTTGGGGGATTTTGTCCAAATTTTACTATTCATTCATTTTTTTTTCACCTCTCCGGTATCAAATCAAATACTTATTTTTTATTTTTTATATTATATTAAAAATTAATTTACTAATATTCAAAAATTTTATTATTCAAATCACAATTTAAAATCTAAGCGCTGACAAACCCTTTGTATTCCTCCCTAAGTCATTTATTTATCTTTTATATGTAAATTTTAAATTATTAATATTTTATATGTAATTAATATAATGGAAAATAAAAAAATAGATTAGTTAAATAATAAAGATAATATTTTGTACTCTCCCTCCATCCCATCTTTATTTTTTTAAAAAAAATAATTATACACTTTGACCGCATTATAAATTATAAATTTTAATTTTAATTAAATTATTTAGTTATTTTAATTTTAATTTATAATTATTTTTACTAATATATTTTTTAATTACTTACTAATTATTACATTTTACCTAAATTCTCGTATCTACGTTACTACGCTCATATTACTTAGAACTGAGGGAATAATATATATATAAATTGTAAAAGTTTTCTTCTTTTTTTTTAAGTTATTCAAAAATTATATTTATTAAAAAATATATATATAGATTAGTTTTAAACGAACCAAAATAACAAAATAGATCAATCAATTGAGGACGGGTGGGTGGGTGGTGTATCATAGTATACAATTTAAGTTTTATTTAGGTATAAGAATTTTGGTAGATTTTTTCAGTTTTAGAAAGTTTTGGTAATAGCAAAATGATAAATATAAATTTTAGTATTTGTTATAATATAATTAGATGTTAAATATGATATTTTGTATAAAAAAATATGTTTTTAAAAATAAAAAATATTTGATGTAATGGCAAAATTGTCATATGCATAAATAAATTCCTATTTTCTTGATAAGTCATTTTGTATCCAAAAATTTTGTTTTAGCCCACACACTCACACACGACCCACCAAAATTAAACCCAAAATCTAGTCTCGGAAAAGAAATGATTCATCACTTCGTCCGCGCCATTTTGCTTCGAAAGGTTGGCAACACTTTAACGCACTAAAAAGACAAATAAAAATATTTCCAATTTTAATTTTTAGTTATTTATTAAAAATAGTTGTATATAAAATTTATTTTGTATTAAAAATATTATAGAAAAGATATTTTTTATTTAAATCTTTATATTCAATATTAATTATATAATACCAAATACGAGATTTAAAAAATATTGATATTATATTGGTAATTAGTAAAAAATATAGATAAAATTTTTTTTTTGCTCTTTGTTACTGTATTAGTGTAAAAAATAGTGCAATTGTGTAATAAAAATGAAAAAATATAAATAGTTTTATGGTGATATGATTATTTATGAAAACAAGACTATTGTTTTGGAACGAACAAAAATAATAAATAAAACTATTGTATTAAGACGGAGGGAGTATCTCATTTTTGTTTAATTTTTAAAATATATTTAAATACAAGAAGTTTGTTTAATTTCTATTTTTCATTTAAATTATTATTTATATGGTATTTTAATATAATAGTTTATTAAAAAAATAATATATTTTATAAAATTTAAAAAAAAATAAATAAGAGACTAATTTGATTACAAACTTTAAAAACCCACATTGGTTAGTTGTTTTGAGTTGTTTGGACTTTGGAAGTGGGTTTGGGTCAAGCAATAGTAAAAATTGAAAGAGTGATAGGTTTTTTTTCTTTTTTTTTTTATTTTATCGTTTTATATAAAAAATAAAAATCAAATTACCAAACACTTTGGATTTGTTTGTTCGATGGTTTGGACTTTGAGCTTGTGATTTGATTAGTACAAATATTAAATTGGAATATTTATATTATGTGATATAAATAAATTTTGATGTAATGTTTTAAATATAAAATTAATTTTTAATATAATATAAAAAAATAAAAAATATATATTTGATTTGATATTTTCAAAGATAAATTTTAATAAATAGAAAAAATTAAGGAAAAAGAAAAACACATCTCATCTAAACATATTCTATCAATTTGATATTTTTTATATAATATTTTATACGATGGTGCATAATTAAATAAAATATCAAAGAATTAACACAACCCTTAAATTTGTATTAAGGGTGACTATAGTAGAGTTTATTTACTTGTTTTTTTTCTCATAAATAATTGTTGAATTTGATATATATATATATTTTTAATAAACATCGAGAAATTGAATATTAAATAAATATCAAATAAATAGTAAACACTCTTCTATTATAGTCATTCAATGACGAAAATAACATCTAAATTTCGGAGGACAAAATGTTATAATTTATTTAATATTTAACTAATAAATTTAAATAAATAATAATAACAAAATTATATATAAATTTAAATAATTTTGGAGGATAAATTTTATATAAATACATAAAAATTAATATTTTTAATACTAAAAAAATCATAAAAAAATTTAGCTTGGAAGGTGACCCCAAGCCCAGCGTAGCTCCGTCCGTGCATATAAATCATTATAATTGTTTGATGCTAAACCTCGAATATAAGGAAGGAGTCTTAAATTACATTATAATTTCACTATAAGAAAAAATCATTTTTGTAACAAAACTTTTTTGTCTCTAAATCTACTTTTTCCGTTACTAATAACATTAGAGACGGAATAGGAATGGAATTACGTTAGCTACGTGAACTTTAGGGACGGAATTCCGTTACAAATATATTATTTTTTTGTAGTGTAATGTAATTTGATGATTAGGTATTTATTATTATGGACCAATGATTTGAAAAATTAACACGCATGAAATATATAATATCATATATTTTTTCGTTACAATTCAAATGGGTCATTTGAGGTTTATTAATAGATTAAAAAATAATATTTCTTTCGTCCCACTTAATTTATCCACACTTTGTATTTTCATTCGTCCTAAATAAATTGTTCTTTACTTTTTTTGGAAATATAGTTATATATTTTAATCACATTTTAAAATTAATAATTTATAATTTTTTTTATTGTAATTAAACTATTTAGTCATTTTAATGTTAATATATTATTATTTTTATCAAATTATAATTATTTTTATTAATACACTTCTTAATTACTTACGAATTAGTCAATACCTAAAACTATGTGTCTAACCTAAAGTGGACAATGTAAGTGCGACGGAGAGAATAATATTTTATTGGTCAGTAGACATATGATTTTCATTACTGATTTAATTGCAGTGAGCAGTTAAAAGTAATATAAAAATATTTTTTATTTTACTTTTTGGTATAAAAGTAGCGATGTTATGTAAAGCAGAAATATTTATGGAGTATTTATTTAATAAAATGATTACTTTGTAATTGGATAAGTCAAAATACAAATACAATATATTTCTAGTTGGATATAAGCAGTATTAATTTTTCATTAAAATATCACAATAAAATAAAATATTATTTAAACCAAAATTCAAATCCACTGCCCCAATTTCAAATCAAAACAAATATAGTTTAAAATTATTTTGAAATAAAGTGTTGATTTATTAGCTTTGATCTCAATCTAAAAGATCTTTTGGAATTTTTATTAAATTAAAAAATAATACTTCATCCGTCTCCATTCAATGAGATTTTTTGAGATTTTATAGTAGAATAAGAAATAATCGCATTTTATCTATTGATAGAAACGTATAAGAGTTTTGTATAACCTAATTGTATGTATAATGATATGCTTGTAATTTAAATGATAGTTAAGAATATTTTAATATTAGTGTATGATTATTTTTTAAAAAAATATACTCCCTCCGTCCCAGAAGAGTTGTCTTGCTTTTCCATTTTTGTCCGTCTCAAAATAATTGTCTTGTTTCCTTATTTAGTAATCGTGGTCCCCACTTTATAACAAAATTATTTTTGCTTTTCCAAATTACTCATAATTATTACTTTAATTTACTTTTTAAAATCTTTCAATAAATAAGGGCATTTTAGTCTTTTATATTCTATTTTATACCCATTAATTTCTGTGCCAATACCCAATAAGACGACTCTTTTGGGACAGAGGGAGTACTTTAAATGAAACATATGAAAATGATTAAAATAGTACGTGTATCTATAAATTATGTAAAAATTAAATGATATTTTGATATTAATATTTAATTATTTACAAAAATGAATACATTTGAGGCAAATAATATATTTTTATTGAATTTAAGTTTGAGGTGTAAAATTTTTTCATAAATTTTTAATTTTTAATTTTTTTTTCTAATTTACAAAATCTCATTCTATTATATCTATAAATATTAAATAATCAAAAATAAAAAAAAAGTTATTTTAAAATAAATAATTTATTTTAATTATACTATTTTTTATTGTAAAAGTTAATTTATTTTATTTAATTTTACTGTGACGAAGACAATCTTTCTAATTGAAAGTATATAAAATTAAATTGAAACTAATAAATAAATAAAAATAAAAATGAAAACAGATCCAAAATTAATTATTCCTTTATAATCACCATCAGCAAATTGTCAGTATAAAAGTAAAACCCCTCCTCCCTCCTTACGTTCGCCCATTGTTTCCTCTTTCCTATCTGTCCATTGCTCTCTCTCTCTCTCTCTCTCTCTCTCTCCCCCTCCTCCTCTCTCTCAGACACATACACAGTCCTCTTCTCTTTCATCTGATACAAATTCAAGTACCCAACACCAAATATCGTAGTTTCCGCCTCTCAATTCTGAAATCAATTGGACTGATAATGGAGAAGGAACCCTAGCACTCGCTTGGAACCCTAATTCAGCGAATCCCCATTTCAGTTTCGCGGCGAGTTTGTCGTTTAACTTTCGGGTACTTTCGTGCGTCGTCCCAATTGGCGTTGAAACAGATAGGGAATGGAGGGGACTGGGCATCCGATACCGAGAACTGTGGAGGAAGTCTTCAACGATTTCAAGGGCCGTAGAGCTGGTCTCATCAAAGCCCTCACCACTGGTATTTCTCCTCCTTAATTCTCAGCTTCTCCTCTGAGTTTCTTCTTTGTCCAATCAGCCTGCTTTCTTTCGCGAGTTTAATCATACACCATGTTCAATTTCTTCGAAATTATGTGTTTATGAACGTCGTCGAGTCTCTGTTGTGCGTCTTTGGTTCCTTGGTGCGTTTCATGGTTGATTTTCTGTTGTGGCCTTTGCAGATGTAGAGAAATTGTTTCAGCTGTGCGATCCTGGTGAGTACTTATTTAGTGCTTTCAGTTGTAAGTTGGGGTGATATTTTGTAAGCGTGTTTTTGTGATGGGGAGCCGTCTGCCCTAACATTAAACCTTTGTCTGGTATGTATCTGTTTTTATGTCTGAAAGTTGTGAGTGCAGATAGTTGCATTCCGAGGTTTAATTGGCGGTTTTATGTGTTTTGAGCTATGCTATGGTTTAGTGTGGCTGCCTATTTTATGGTTTAATACTGCCCTGATTAACTTCCTCAGGGTTCATTGGATGATGCTCTATGCTCTGTTGATTCTTGTTTCTTAGTGTTTTTATTGTTTATTTACTTCTCCGATGCTGCCGTGACTACGTCATCAAAAGTGCTGTGCTGTTGTGCCATTCCTGGTGAAAGAATGATTTTTTCATGGCTTCCTAGAAGTGGTGATTGGTCGAAACTTAGATCGATCATTTGTCGTTTAGTTGAAACAGATTCAGTTGGCTTTAGTGTCGAGTGGTTAGAGTTTAATGTATCTTTGTTGGTGCCCGACATCTTTTGCTTTGATAGTTTGGCTTTTAGCTACATTATGATTTGTTCCCAATGTTGTGCTGGAATACCCGAATGTGGCGATTGTTGGGCCCCGCTGTTATTTAGGCTTGGTTATCGGATCAATGCAGTCGCTAATCTGATTGAGAGAAACTTCTAAATTTGGTACAAGAACCATTGGCAACTTAATGCAACCATGTGTGAGTGCTTTGCAAAGAATACATTTTTGCCTTAAACTTGCATTTCCTTGCACCAATCTCTTTGTTACCTCAAGTATCTTCATGGCCTGCACCATCTCCAGTAAAAAAATCTACAGAGATGTAAGGTTTTGCCGCTGAAGAATTGTAAATTCCATCATCTTTTTTAGTCGGGTGAACTTAACAGGTTGGTCATGGTCTTTTTAAAAGTAAAGTGTCTCACCTCCCACTAGACTGTTTAGTTTAAAGCTTTTAACTATCGTCTGCTTCTTCTTCCTATGGTTATGTATCATTCCGTGCTGTCGCTTCTAATGCCTGCTGATGAACATGGTAAGATTGAGACCTATTGATTGATCATCACTTTTACTGATAGTTGAATGGATAATGGTCTCACTAGTTGTACAAGATTTCGTTTCTTCTGTAAACTTCAATTGTTGAATTAATGTCATTTATTGAATTTCAAATGTTCTAGTGGTAACAAGATTTGGGTGTTTGACAATATTTGATTTTCCATTGTTTGATGTTAACTTATTATGATTGGATTATCTGAACATTCCAAAGGATGATATGGAGTAGCTCCAAGACAGATGTACATGAGCTATTTGGAGATGAATGGTTTCTTGCATTTGTTGTTTTTTTTGCAGAAAAAGAAAACCTCTGTTTGTATGGACTCCCAAACGAGACTTGGGAAGTCAATCTTCCTGTTGAGGAGGTGCCTCCCGAGCTTCCTGAGCCAGCACTTGGGATTAACTTTGCTAGAGATGGAATGCAAGAGAAGGACTGGTTATCTCTCGTTGCAGTTCACAGCGACTCATGGCTACTTGCTGTTTCTTTCTACTTTGGTGCTCGATTTGGATTTGGTAAAAGTGAGAGGTAAATATTTGCCCGGCAGATGCCTTTTTAAAATCCATAAGTTTCAATAATCTTGAGATACCTGTTCCTGAACAACTACTATTATTCCGTTGCCTAATAGTATGTGCAATTGATTTGTTGGTGTTATTAAGGTAAGTCCCGACTTGCACATGTAGCCTTTTTTCTAGTTTGTCCCCGACGTCTGTGCAACTCTATGGGTTCTGTTCATAGGCAAAAATAGTACTGTCAGTGCTAAATGCTGTATGTTTTTATTTAAATCTTTGATTCCACTGGAAATTTTATCCCGAAGATATTATATAGTTTAAGCTCCACAAAGAGATTTATGACATTCTATAACAGCCGTCAAGGAATTCATCGTTTTTGTGAAAGTAAGAGGCTAAGAACGAAGCTGAGTCTTTCTTGCAGGATAAATATATAACTAAGTCGCTGTTGTCTTGTGTTAACTGGATTTCTTCTGCTTACCTGATATATATAAATATGGCACCAGTATTCTGTCAACTTCTGTTCTCCTTGTTCATGGATGTCTGTTTTGTTTAATGTCATAAATATGTCATGTTCATTTTGGACATCAAGACACCTATATTGGCTGATCGACATTTGGTCTCTTGTAGGAAGAGGCTCTTTCAGATGATCAATGAACTGCCAACTATATTCGAGGTCATTACTGGAGTCGTCAAACCTTCAAAGGAACAGTCTGCTGCTCAAAATAACAGCAGTAAGAACAAGGCCGGCGGCAGATTGGTAAACCATGTTTTAACCAAATATATATATATATTTAAATTCTATAAAACTATTTCATCCTCGACAATTATTCACTCCTTTTAGCAATCTCAACAGCAGCCCAGAGGCCCAGCAAAGGACGAGGGCGATGAGACAGGCGAAGAAGAGGAAGAGGACGAGGATGATGATGAGGAAGGCGACGAAGATGACGATGAACAGGGAGCTACATTGTGCGGCGCTTGCGGAGACAACTACGCAAACGACGAATTCTGGATCTGCTGCGACATCTGCGAGAGATGGTTCCATGGGAAGTGCGTGAAGATTACTCCGGCCAAAGCCGAACACATCAAGCATTACAAATGCCCCGGCTGCAGTAGCAAAAGAGCCCGAGTTTAATCTCACATGCATCGAATTCGCGCAATCCCCGCAGCTAGTTTATAACTTGCGCTTGTTTTTGAGTTATAGATTATGGTGGAATATTGATCTTTCGCGGACCAACTGTCGCCGGATTCTTGTCCGGCGGGGCGGCGACACCCCCCTTTTGTTTTTTTTGTTTTAAACTTTTTCTAGGTACGTTTGTGGAAACTGTTGTGTGTTGATTATTGGAAAACGATGGAATTGCCTGTTTATGTCGTAATAAATTATCAAAGTAGGGAAAATTGTATATACTTTGGATTATGGCATTTTATTGTGTGACTTTGTAAGATTGTAACTTTAGTTCTGCAACTTGCAATATTTGGCAGTTTTGATCTTATTAATTTAAGTTGTGAGAGTTTTTATAATCAAAACTCCGAGTAAGCAATACATTTAGGGTGTGTTCGTTTGATGGATTTTGATAAAATTTTACTATTCATCTCATTTTTTTCTCCAAAAACATCAAATCAAACACCTATTTTTTATTTTTTATATTATACTAAAAATTAATTTTACATTCAAAATATCACATCAACACCTATTTATATCACATCATACAACTATTCAAATTCGAAATTTTTACTATTCAAATCTCAACTCAAAATTCAAACTCCCAAACAAACACACCCTTACCATGTCATATGATATGAGCCGATCGGGTCTAATCAGTACCGCAATTAGGATAAAATATTGATTGAGTCAAATCAGTACATAATAGAATGATACAACAACATTGTATAAAAGTATGTATGTATTATTTGATTAAGATAATTATATCTGTTGCAGAATATTTATATTATTATTTACTGTTATCTTATAATATTATTATATATGCAGATTAACACTGAAACAAAATCTATACAAATAGAGAATTTGTTCACCTAGTTAATTTTTTTCACTACACATTATCAAAGTATATAATATTTATAGTCTATTTATTCACAAAAAAATCAACTATTTTTTATAAAATATTGTTTGTTTAATATTACACATAAAAGAATATATAATAAAATAAAATATTAAACAAACAAAGCCAAGTTTAGGAATATAAAATTATAAGTTGTGTTCATGTGATAATTTTTTATACTCCATTATTTTTTCTAATAATGCATCCTATTTAAACTACATAAAATTGATTGTACCATGAATTAACAAAACAAATCAATAGTGTGTTTGTTTGGAAATTGGATTTTAAATACACTATTCATCCCATTTTTTTCCAAAAAAATATTAAATCAAACACCTATTCTTTATTTTTTATATTATACTTAAAAAAATCAATTTTACATTCAAAATATCACATCATCTAAGACCATCCGCAATTGAGATATCTCCACTACTTTTTCTTCTCCACGTCACATTCTCTCTCTGCCTGCCACGTCAGCGAAGATACTTTCTTCTATTTTATATTCACAACAAAGATACTCATCATAATTTTTTAATAAATTTTTATTTTCATATTATATATATTATTTTTTAATTATAGTTTTAATTTATAATATTAATTAATTAATTAATTATTATATTATATTATATTATTATTTGTCAATATTTTGATTTATTAATAAATTATGAAAAAAAGTTATATTATTTATTATTTAATTAAATTTAGTTTTAATTTATTTTAAAATTTTAATTTTAATATCAAATTTGTATTTATATATATTAAATTTCAAATTGATAAAATATATCATTTGTAGAATATAAAATATTATGAATTATAAAAATACTACAAAATTTAAATATAACAATAAATTCAATATAAATTAAAAATATATATATATATATAATATATAATATATATATACATTCTAATGCCATGTGTCCCAATATATACATTCTAATGGCAATAAAATTGCATCTTCTCTTGGAGGAGATGCACCGTTGCCGATGGCCTAACACGTACTTTTATACATCATACAACTATTTAAATTCAAAATTTTTATTATTCAAATCTCAACTTAAAATCCAAACCTCCGAAAAACAAATTACCTATTTATTCTTCTTTATACATTGATATATATATATATATATATTAAAATCAATCAAAATAAATGACATTAATTTAAGAATAAACTAAATAAATCTAAAAAAAATTACTTTGCACCATATATATATATATATATATATAAGAACTATTTATTTATTTATTTTTTAAATATGACTGCGTACAACAAAAGACGAGATGCAAATAATACGACAACAAAAAATGTAAGGATGATAACAAGACTGAAGACAATTAAAAAAATGAGGGAAAAATATAATTTTGATTAAAAGGAGTGAAAATTAAAAATTATAAATAATTCGAGGGACTATTAAGTAATTGCATAGGCTAAGCTTGTTAAATGCGGTGAAAACCCTTGATTAATAGAATCATTAATCATCAATATAACACAATTAACATACCTTCAAATGTGGGAGTTTCACTCAGTGTATTGTGCTCAACCATTGTGATGCAAAATTTGATGTGTAATTTGTGCCAAACAAAATAACAATACATATGTATATATAAATGAAATAGATAAAAAAATAATAAATTAAAAAATAATTAAAATTCTAATTAAATCAAAATATTTGCAAATATTTCAAATATCCGAACCCAAACCGAATCGAATATAATTATTAATATAAATTTTAAAATATAATAACATAAATATATAAATATATTCGGTTCGGTTAACCGAATCGAAAAACAAAAATAAAAAACCGAAACCGAACCGAACCGAACAATATTTGTATTCGAACCGAATTTGTTCGATTAACCAAAAATTCGATTCGATTCGATTCAACGCTCCGGCTCGATTTTTTTGCCCATCCCTGTATATAATATAGTAATCTGTGTTTTTGTCGAAGTCAAAACATATGATAATGTGTGAAGAAAAGTGGCAGAGTTGCAATCAACAAATAAATCATATAATTTATTAATTTATACGTGAAAACGATCGTGATAGCAACAATAATTTTTAGCTCTGCTTTTTATTTTATAGTATAAATTAATATTGTTTCATACAATTAAATTAAACATATATTATTATTTTATATATTATAAAAACTTATTGTTTATGTCATTCAATTTTATTTTTATTTTTTAAAATTGTCATACAAAAATTATTTTTATAGAATATAAAAAATATATTACTATTTTTCGAAATATATATATAAAATTACAGGTAGATGACAAAATGAATATTTTTTTTATTTGAAATAAAAATATCATAAAAAATATATTTAATTAAATTAAATATAATTCTAATATTAAATCTAATTAATTTTAAGTTTTAAAACTCAAATTCAAATATTTTTTTTTAAAAAAAAGAAAAATATATAGTAAATTGTAACCATACTTTTAATTAGATTGACCATGCATTTTCAAAGTACAATCGACACACGTGGCTCCACATGATTCGGGTGTGTTTGTTTGAGGTATGGATTTTGGATTGAGATTTGAATAATAAAAATTTTGAATTTGAATAGTTGTATGATGCGATATAAATAGGTGTTGATGTGATATTATTAATGTAAAATTGATTTTTAGTATAATATAAAAAATGAAAAATAGGTGTTTAATTTGATGTTTTTGGGAGAAAAATTTTGAATGAATAATAGAATTTTGACAAAATCCTACAAACTAACACACCCGAAATCGAAATGAAGATAATCAAATCACATATAATATATATATATTCTTTCCCTTCTAATTTGGCTTTTCTTTGTTCATTTTTTTTTTTATTATTATTATCATTTTAATTTATTAATTTTTATTTTTTTTAAATGTATTAAATCGATAAATATAAATTAATTTAATTACCTTTAAAATATATAACATCATACGTCTGTGCAATAAAATAAATATTATTTCTATCTCAAAAAAATTATTTTGTTTTTCCATTTCGTCCGTATCAAATCAGTTGTTCTATTTTATTATTTAGTAAATGTGGTTTTCATTATACAATAAAATTATCTCTACTTTTCATAAAATTATCACTTTAATATATTTCATAAAGTAAAAGTAATTTACATTATACTTTATATCTATTTTAAATTTAATAGTATTATTATTCCTTATATTCAGTGCTCACTGATATATACTATCTCCGTCCGGCTATTTCATTTATTTTGTTTGTGTTGATCTTTAAATACTAATTATTAGTATATCAAAATATAGTACAAATTAAGAAAAATTGCAAAAATACTTACATTGGTGTCTTAATATTTGTAAAAACAAAAACTATACAAATATAAGAATATTTTTAATATTAAATAGAATGACGCAAAAGATAAATGTGACCCTTAGAGGCGGACGGAGAAAGTATTTTGGAACGGAGATAGTATTTTTATTTATATTTAAAACTCAATTTTTTTTTATAAAATTAGTTTATTTTAATTATAAATAAGTAAATAATTCTTTCTTTATTTATATTACTTAAAATTTTATTATTTATAAAATGATATAATATTACATGTAATTTATTAAAATATAATATTTAAAATATTTAAATTTATTTTAATCAAATACAGAGCATATTAATAATAACAAAAATAATAATAAAATAATATCTTAATTTAATATTATTAACTAATTAAATACTATTACGGAGTTACTAATGAAATGAACCATTTAATCCGCGCTTAATGGAGTAGTATTTTATTCTAATATTTAAAAGTAATAATAATTTTATTTTTTTTTAGACAAATGAAATTGAGAGAATACCATGTGTGTTTATTTATTTCTTTATATTTAGCTTTTACGATTTAATTTGTGTTTAGTTGTTATTTTTTTATATTTTATTATTATTTATTTTATAGAATTTTTATATTATTCAAATTTTATAAAATATTGTGTTAAAAATAAATTATCAAACTAAAGATATAACTAAAATATACAATAATATTTTTCTTATTCAATTTATCATTTTTTATTAATAGAATTATTTTATTTTATTTTTTCGATTAGCAATATAAGTGTATTCTCATTATGCCTTTTCAACTAAATTATCGATTTTACCAAGCAAAAGAATCAATTCTTTAATTCACTATTAATTTTTTTTTTTCTAAAATTTCATTCTTTATTATCATTTATCTATAATTCCCTTTTCTATACCAAATTAACCCTAAATTCATTATGTGACATGTGTTTTTTTTAAAAATGAAAAATATGTTAATTCAAAGCAATAAAATGTCATATAATTTAATTTCAGTTTTCGAATTAATTTGTTGGAAATAGTCATATACATTACAAACTCACAGGAATTAA